GCGTCTCAGTGGCTTTTTGCGATGATTTTGAGACGAACGGAAAAGAATATTTCAAAATAACTGCGAAAACTTTGGAACCTGTTAATGGAGAGAGCAAATTTAGTACAAGAATTGACCCAAGCCGTGGGAAGCAACGATACGATCTCCCAGTATTGATACCGCAAAAAGGCGTTAAGCACATCAAGGTATTTTCTTCCTCTGGGGAAGATATCTGCCTCAAAGCTGTGTCCGTAGACACCAGCATCTTTGTTGAATCGCCAACGAACTTCCAGACTATCTGCAGTGCAGAAGAAAAAAACTCTTTCCCGCCCTGTAAAGAGTTTAAATCCAAGCTGAAGCCTTTGAAGTCAGACGCAGAAAAAGTATCAAAGTCACAGAAGTCAGGTGTCTCAGTGGTTTTTTGCGATGATTTTCAGTCGAACGAAAACGCATATTTCAAAATAATTGCAAAAACTTTGGAATCTGTTGATAAAAAATTCTTCTTTAGTGCAAGAATTGACCTAAGCCATAGGATGCAGCGATTTGATCTCCCGGTATTGATACCACAAAAAGGCGTAAAGTACATTAAGGTAGTTTCTACCTCTGGGGAAGATCTCTGTCTTCAAGCTGTGGCAGTAGATACGAACATCTATGTTGACTTGCCAACAAACTTTAAGACTACCTGCAGCGACGAAGAGGAAACCTCAATCCCGCCCTGTAAAGAGTTCAAATCCAAGCTGAAGCCTCTGCGTGTTTGCCCGAACAAGATTTCCGAGTTGCTGATAAGAGAAAAACTCATTGATACCTTACCGTCCCCTGATACCGACGCGCGCCCGTTTGAAGTGCCGAAATACAATGCCATTAATGATTATGCCCAGGCAGGTTACGTTATAGCTAAAGGGATAGCAGATCTTAATAGTCGGGAGGGAGTCAAGCAATATATCAACCAGCTTGAGTCTGCAGTGAAACTCACCAAGGTCTTCGGCGTAGAAGGGCCGCTTACCAAGATTAACTCGATATTGGGCGCGCTTGGACCCGCACTCGGTATCTTCGGTGGACTCACCAGTATCCTTACTACAGCTTTGACTCCCAATCCATTTGACAAGCTAGCCGAGTATCTACAAGAGGAATTCACCGCCCTACATAACCATCTTAACCGTATGAAGGGGGAACTAAAGGAACTTATCATGAATGAAGGCGCCATGACTAAGATGGCTGATGCGGTAGCCAGCATTCGCTATTCTCTCAGAGAATTCCAAGATATAGCAAAGTCGCTAAAGAGAAATCCCGTATGTGGGACTAATGATTTGATACTAGAATACAGCGTCAAAAAGTTCGTCAGCAACTACAAAAAAAGAGACACGGGACACAAGCTTCTGGATCTCTTGGTAGATGAGCTTGGATCTCTGCCACTGACGCGTTCACTCCTAAAGCCATTTATGAAAACTTACTGCAAAACAAAACCTGACAAAGTCAAAAGGTTTGTGACAGACATCTCCACCTACGCCTTCCTTGCGACACAAGCCCAGCTATTTTTCGACCATCTGATTTGCACTAAGCACAAGCTAAGAAACTGTGACAGCAAGACAAGCATGTGGGAGGAACGTTTGAAAAAACTACTCTATAAGGCCAAGGCTCTTATTGTAGCTTTAAAGAGTCCGGCAGAGGGTTTTTATCAGTTTTTTAAAGATGATCTACAGCAAGAGGTAAGGAGGGCGGTTGAAGGGGAGTCGAATACCGAAGATGCTATAAAGTTGAAAAGGGTAGCTGACTTGTTCATCTACTTTCTCACTGATCCTAAAAATTGGCCAAAGAGCTGCATTGTTGATTCAGGCAGGGAAGTTGTTGCATATGTAGCCGTTAAAACAAACGCAGCAGCTCGTCCTGAAAAGATGAGATTTTTTTTTAGTCTCTTTTACCTACACCGCGAAAAAGAACTCAAATTGATAAAAATGAAAATAACTAATCTCCCACAAGAAGAGGATTTGACACATAATATGGACGTGTCTTATTCTGTCAATTGTTTAAACGATACGGAAAAGTTACAAATTTGCCATGTTTCAAAGAAAGATGATTATGATTACCCGAAACTTAACAGGCATCCAAACGGCAAATTGTTTTACATGGAAATAAACCCCCAAAAAGAATACCTTAAATTTACAATACAGCCAGTAGATGTTTTCAAGAGCCGTCATATTCGTGAGCCTCTTTTGCTAGGATGTTGGGATGGGAGAAATTTTTTAGCAAACGATGACGGCAACTATAAATGCCCGCCGATCAATAAATACCCACACCCTCCGGAGAGTCGTTTCTGTTTGTTTTACAAGAATAAGCCAAATTATCCAAACGATGAATCCGAGGAATGGTAAGTTTCGGGAGAGTACCCTTAGATTCTCTGATACCGCCCCCCCTGCCTTTATGGCCGAGCTATAAAGCCAAACATGTGTACATTTCTTAGACTGCTCTGTTCCAAAGCGTACCATAATAGACCTTGTCTTCCGACGCCATCATGACGAGAAGGCAAACGTGTGAGAAATTACAGTGATTGTATGAGAATCTAATGTCGAATAATTTTCGTAAAACGGCTGTTCTGAACAAAATATCAATTGTAAACTAAAGCTACAAAGCAAAGCATTGACCTTAAAAAAATTGGGGGGCGTACCTGTGCTTAAATTTCTCCAGAGGCTTGCTTTAGGTTTTCCATATATTTGTCTGTAATTTTCCCGGGACTTTCTTAAAGACAAATGTACAGAAAATTTTAAAAGGTGGTTCTAGGTCTTTTAGTGCATGTAACGCCCTCAAAGTTTTTCAGGAGAATCCATAGGAGTGAAGCTTTAGTTTACAAATCATATTTTTTACAGAACAGCCGTTCTACGGAAATTATTCGACATTAGATTCTCATACAATCACTGTAATTCCTCACAAGTCTGCCTACTCGTCAAGATGGCGTCGAAAACCGTGACAAGGTCTATTAAAGTCAGAGTGACAAAGAGGATACCAACCACAAATCACGGATAGTAGTTAAATAAAGCATATATGTTTACAAGAAAAAAGTACATATTAAAATAATTTATAACTCAAGACTGACTAGAAATGAATCATTCAGTTAACGAAATAAATGTAGGGGCATTAACCAGTCAAGACTAACCTGAGATCAGGCCCAATTTTAGCGGTTCTCATACATTCGCTCTAACAACTACCCCCAGATCGGCTGTTGGAACAATGCCTCAGGATCTGATTGGCTGTTGAAATCAACGGAAGCTGAAAGTACTTATTCCTCGCGTGGTTGTTTTTCGTGAATGATACGCCGTCGGCCTAGCCTGAATTTCGTCCGATTACTTCGAGTCGTTATTACTCCCTCAGTAACTCTCAGTTGTTGAGAGGAGAAAACGACTCGAAGCAATCGGATGAATTTCAGGCTACCGTCGGCCGAGAGAAAGGTCGATTTGCTCTCTTTTTTTTTATTGTTTTATGGTCTTATGGTAGGAAAATATGCCTTAATATGTGCCATGTACATTGATCCAAGCTCATGGAAAACTGGAGAGTACAAATCCATGTGTCCTACTGGCACGATGTTGTATGTAAATAATTTCCTTTGCGGTAAGTAACTCTGTTGAGATCCAAACTATGTAATCAAAAGACATTTCCAAACTAAACTTGAAAATCACGGACCAGTTTTGTTATTATTATCACGCAATGAAGAAAAAGGAACGCAAAAGCAACAGCGGCCATTGCTCGGCTTTGGCTATTATGTTTGCCCTGCCCTTAAGACACACTCATATCATTTTTAAAAACCAAGTTTGTGCAGGACGCAGCAAAGTTGGCCGAGTTGTTCAATCGCCCAAGATTCAAATCTCGATCGCTTCGGCCACTTACTGGAACAGTCACGTCCCCAGGGTCTTCTCGTTTTCCAAAAGACTGTGGGGTCGAGGTTGCTAACTGGGGCTGTTGCTCGAACTGGTTTACTTCCAGTCAGACGGGAAATCAACCTACTGATCCTGATTTTCTGGTTTTTCAAGAAAATTTCTGTCAGTTTCTTCACTCTTCAGAGACAGGTTTCTTATTTCTCACTTTGGCAACGTTTCACCAGCTATTACGTAATTAAGGGAACAGGTCATTTTTGAATGTGCGCCTTTCATTATTCGTATATTGCAATTTCAGGACAAATTATTTTCAATTTCTATTCCTTTTTGACTTATCTGAACTGTTAAATGAAGTATGTCAGTGGTTTGGAAATGAAGAGGCATTTCCTACCTTTCCACTCTCCTTCAGCGCTAGACTAAGTGAAATTTAAGATTTAAAACCTGCTAATGCCCCGCCATATCGTTCGCTCCTTTCTAACGTCGATCCAATATAGGGACTTAAAAATAAGTGTGGTAGAATTATCTTAAGCTCCCAGATTTAGTTGGAGACTCGAAGTCGTACTGAAGCTCTTCCTGGTAGTCTATTGTGAGGGTCCGCATAAAGTTCTAAACTTTTTTTACAGTGAACTGTCCATCGGGTACTTATGGTGCCTTAAATGGGACAGCGACGGCATGCTTTCCGTGTCCTATTGGAACATACCAACCACATCAGGGACAAACGTCCTGTTTTCTTTGTCCCTCGGGTTCTAATTCCCGCAAAACAGGATTAGAAACGCGTTCTTCCTGCAAAGGTAAGGCTAGATGATAATGATACGCGTTGCCTCCTCTAGCTATACCAAATCTGCAGCAATCGTGACTGCTAAGCAGTTTTAAGCCATCCGTTGTGAGAGTAGTAATAATCTATAACTGAATTTAGTTACTACTAAGTAACAAAGGAACGTTTCTCCCCTCATTTAGCCAGTCCACCATTTTTTTAGTTGAGTGACATACCATCCTCTATAAGCTGAAAGCTGAAATTGTACGACAACACGTAAATTCTTTAATGGTCTTCTCGTACATCTTTCACCAGAGATCGTTACTTATCCTACGACTTTCCCTCCCACTGAAACCACGTTGTAGGAGTCAGTGGCGACTACTGCTACAGGCGAATCCAGAACCACGCGAAAAGGAGAAGTTGAGAAGACGACTAGGAGTCCAAACGCGTCCGGGCTTGGAAGTGATAAAGATGTCGCCACCAAATGGAAGATAGCCTTTGGCGCATGCGTGGCTATCATTGTCATTTTACTGGCAGGTTCGTTCCATCGCAAACCAAATTAGGCATTTTTAGTATTTTTCTGTATGCATGGTTAGTCCTTCTAAGCTCTCAGAGATCACTTTATTCAAAGACTCAAGATTGAGATTGGTAGATTGGTAGAGGGTTAAGTCAATCATATGACTCCCTACACTGAATCGGTGGAATGTGATGAGGGTGGAAAATGTAATTGTTTTCAAAGAACACTATCTGAATCACGCTACTCATTCATCAACAATAAGAACTAATAGAAGGGGTTACTTTTAAACCTTTTTTTAGTGCTGAGTTAATAAGGAAAAGTAAATCTGCCATCGTAAAGAGATTCGAAAGCTGACGTTTCCACTGACATCAGTTGACAGACATCATTTGGAAGCCCGATTAGTAAGATCGAGAACCGACACACATTGCTGCCATGTAATATGAAACGTCCATAAGCATTATAATACACTTCCATGTATGAGATAAATTTTCTTTTCGCAAAAACAAAGTTATAAAATAAAAAGTGCTAAACTATAATTTTATCAGGGCACGAAAATTGCACTGCTATAGTCGAACGTGGGATATTATAGTAGGAAAGAATTTCTATACAAATGTTACGATTGGACCAGGTCTTGTTACAAATCGTTTTGTAAAAATTGTTGTTGCTTCTTCTCTTCTTAAGGAGTGTTGGCGTACGCTATTCGCTATCGCGTCAAGAAAATCCCCCATTTTAAAACTGGCAAGATGAGAACGTCAGCTACTGATCAAACCTTCCAGAATCCCATATACGATACGAACGAGGATGTTAAGGAGCGACCGGTACTCAGTCAGAAGAACCTAATTTACCAGTCCGGGGACCCATCTGCTGTTAAGCTTGGCACCCTTTACAGCCTCGAGAACCCTTGCTACCAAATAGAGGACCCACAAGATGATGATACCAGCATGTAAAGAACAGGTTGAACCCCAACAAAATAAGGCTTTGATATATTTTGATAGATTTGATAGCATCATTTTTGGCATAATTTGTCATTACGAGCATAATTTTGATCTATTTTCCGAAAAAAGCACTATTATATTTCGAACTAATTTTGATTTCTTTCAAAAATTTACTTTCGATTTCTTGAACCTTGAAAATTCAGGAACCAACCTGAAAAACACGATTTTGGCCACATGAACTGCTGGTTAAGCATTCAACAAGTTTCGGGGAAGGTGTACTTATATACTTGATAATACAAAGCAAGTGACAAATCTTTTATAAACTGCAACACCGTTGTTGCACAATCGGAATGATTACGGTCATTGTAGAGATGAGCCTGAGTTTCTGTGTTGAAAAAATGCACTACCTTATCACCCGTTATTTTAGCACAGGTAATTATGAACCACTATAATTATACATTTTTTACTACAGTGGACTTCTTTTACAGTAAATGCCGTCCGCGCAAAATTGACACATACTGTATACCAATACAGTACTGGTTTTTGGTTTGCTTAGTTGGCTTAAATCTTTTATAATTTACACTACATGTAGGTTTAGTTTGAAAATAAGGCCGTTGTTGTCTGCGGCCTTCTTGGTTCTTTAAAAATAAAACCATGTTAAAACAGGTGTGATTCCATGCCACCTTTGATTTTTCGAATGTATTTCCGCTGATTTTTCGAACCAATTTCCATTTCCCTTGGAAGTTTTAAAAATCCCTCTTCCACTATAATAGTAAAACATCAGGCCCCAGTTGTTCGAAGGCCGGTTAGCGCTAACCTAGGGTTAAATTTTAACCCGGGCTTCTTTTTCTTTTCATCAAAAGCACTCTCTCGGATAATTTTCTCTATTCTTTTCAGAGTATCCAATCATCAAATTGTAGGCAAAGAGAATTAAACTAGATTTGTTTTTTAAGCTCTCATATCTGAGTTCAAATTTCGTACTAACCCTAGGTTATCTTAAACCAGCTTCGAACAACCCAGCCCAGGTGTCGTGTTATACACCTGCAGAATGCCACCCGTGATCAGACTAGAATGGACCATTTTCAACAGTTGTAGTCTATGAGCGTGAGGCTGAGGTTGACCTTGTTTTCATACAAACCTCCTTAATTTTCTTATGGAACTTATACTAAAAAAAAATAGAAGTTAGCAGAACAACAGAACAACATGACTTACACATTAAAGAAGGAAGGGATGTGTGAAAACGAGGTCAATTCCAGCCTCGTTTCCACCTGTAACTGTACAATGGTTTATTGCTTGTCGTTTGACGACGTCGCGCCGAGACGTTTCGGGTATTTTACCAAATATGGAGAAGATCGCTAAGACGAAACATGGCCAGTAAAGCACCCCGAAACTCGGTATCAAATTCCACTACTTAGGCTTTGGTTTTTTAACCTGCAATTTGTCTTTGTTCGCAGCGCTATCTTTTCTAGAGTTATTCGATATCACGTGAGACGACTTCGAGATCTCCTTACCCTTGCAGACACAACAACCACAAAATGGGTAAAACTGAAGAAATACGTGCCGAATCTGTTAACGTTATAATTGAGAAGCGTTGCCTTGAATCAACGTCCACAAAATACTCCTTTTCTATGGACAATGACCTTATTGAAATTTAACAAGACTATTCCAAGTTGGCTTTTCTTTTGCAAGCACTGATGGAAGTTTCTCAAATACAAAACGAATAGTGATTGATAGAATAATTTATATAGACGTGGTGTTTTTGCAACAAAACATTCTTTTGACTTTCATTTCTTATCAATTGATAAAAAAAAAACTTTTTACCACACTATTTAAACCTTTATTATTGTATAAATCTGAAGTGTTGGGCGCGTATGACAAACTGAACGTCAGCTATCACCACAACAACTTCCACCAATGTAGCAGTTTCTTATTTGGTTACTACAGGTGGCGCTTGCTTAGTGTTAAGTATTTAGTGTTAGTGTATAGCGTGGTAACTGTGTTGTTAATTCCGGTCCTGAGCGTTTGACCAGCGTTGTGTTTTGTTTAGCGTCGAAATGATGTTTCGAGTAGTCTACAAGTGGTGATAGTTGTAGCATTAATGCTTCGTTTCTTTTCTGTTATTATAAGTTATGTTGTTTTTTAATTCTTTTTTTTTTTTTGCAACTGTTGCGACGTAAAAAAGAAACTATAATAATAATAATAAAAAAACCTGACAACAGGTTAAAGAAATAAAAAATTAAAAACTGAATCTAGTGGATACACCTGATTGAAGAAACGTTGTCGCTGCGTGAAAAGTATAAACCGTGAACGATGAGACTTAAGGATTTTTGGGTAGAAAATTGTAAATTTAAAAGAAAAATTTAAAGGTCTTTCTTGAAAAGCTTACATCATCATGAGCTTCTCGCTCTGATCAGATGCATTCCAACAAGGCCCAAACGATTTAGTCGAAATTTCCTGCCGATAAGCCGACAACTTCACCTGGGCACATGTTTCTTCCCTTTCGCGTTGAAGAGCGTAGCGCTATTCGCCAACGTACACTAAAAAATCCTACGAAAAGACCAAAACGTTTTCTGGAAAGTGTTGTAAGAAAAAAAAAAAACGAAATGCCTTAAGCAAAGTAATCTTGGGATGTGCATCCGACTGAGAAACTCGAGATAATCAGGATGATATTTTAGCTTTTCTAGGTAACAACTTTGAATTGCTTTGCTAATACTAACATGTACCCATAAATCCTTGAAGCTTTACCTTTATGGTTTATACCTTTTGATCGTCAACGTTTTTTGAAACAGGGAACGTGACCATGTGGAAAGACTACAATCTCAATTCTATTAATTCTTCCTTGGTTTAAGTAAACGAGTTCCTAATATTGTTGTTACCCGAAACACAGTTGGGAAATCATCTCTAATGTTTTGCCACTATTTACAAGGGCAAACTGAAAACAGAATTCCTCAACGATGCCTCATTGTATAAAAAAAACATAGCAAAAGAATAAGCAAATACAGGGTGACATTCCTTCATCTCCTCCACAAATCACATTTGAACACAGTTTAACATCACCGAAGCACAAATACAACTAGACGGCTAGATGGTGGTCAACAAATAAATAAATTAGTGATAACTACTAAAAAACATCATTTTCAGAGCCGGGTAGCTAAACACATCAATCTCATCTAGTTCAATTTAGAGCAATAAACCAAAATAGTTGCACTCTTATCATAAATAGAAAAGACGAAATCTCTTTTATTAGACTTTTAAAAAAACTCAAACCAGCGACAAGCAACGGTAACATTAAGGGGAAGTTACCATAAATTATTGATGGAATATGGAAGTTACTGTTCGCCAAAGATTCCACAGCATATGACATTATATATGTGTTCCATAGAAGAAATAGAAGATTAGATGAGAAACACTTCACACTTAATTGCGCTCTTTTCTTTATCAGACGATTCTCTATCTTTAGTTCTATCGGTCACAAATAGAATTCTGATTTTCGAACCAAACGTCACTGAAGCTGTAATTTTACCCCCGATTTTTTAAACTTCCCGATAATTCGAACCAGGTGGTTCAAAAAATCGGGATTCCCCTGTATCCAATTTTCACTTTCTGAGCTTAAAAGATATATGATGCTCTTTCTCAGGCTTAGATCATTTGGTTTGCTTATACTGCGCCACTTTGTTTTTCTATCCTCCGACGGAAAAGCGAGCGAGAAGAAAACGTAGCCCCCATATAACTGGAAAATTCAGTGTGTAATTTAGCTTTAATAGCACTAGTTACTTTTTGTTATTATTGTTGTAATCTTTTCAATGTAGCCAATCTTTTAATCGAAAATGGCATTTATTTATGTGGAAATGACAATAAATAGAATTGTGAATTGCGAATTGCGTGGCTATTACTGAGACAAACTATGTCTTAAAATACAACTTACAACCAATGTTTAAGGGCCATCCTACGGTTATGCTGAGAGTGTTAAAAACGTGAAGTTAAAAAAAAAAAGCTAGCCGCAATTACTTTGCTAAACAAAGATTTTGCATGCACTTACTTTAGCTATTGTGCTAAACTCAATTTCAGTTCAGAACTAAGCTAAGAGGAAGAGTGACAGGCGGAGGTAAAAGTGGGAGTTGATGATGTTTTATCCGTTGCTAGCAAAGAAAAGGAGTTGGGAGGGAAAGTGTCCCAAAGAATGCTCGCGGGCAGCCCGAACTTTCCCACGTTTGTTTCCCCTTTGCTTGTATATTTTATTCTTGATCCTTGACTCGAATATGACTCATGTCTTTCAGGACACTCAAAGCACCTCGAATTTGATGATTCTGGAATCACAGGTATACCTGTACAATTTGTCATCAAGAAACAATGACTTGTCTCTCCGCCTGACAACTTCCCACAAAGACGTCAGAAACTGACATTCGGAAAACACCCGAAATTACTTGGCCGTTGGACTGGCATCTGAAATTACTCTATCTTTGATTTAAATATTTCATAATTAGGCAATCTGTCATCAACAAACAATTACTTTTCTCTCCCCCTGACAACTTCCCACCAAGAGGTCAAAAACTGGTATTCGAAGGACACTCAACATTGCTGGCCATTGGACTGGCTTCTGCAATGACTTTATCTTTGAGTTTTAATATTTCAAAGCGATACTTTTAATAAAGCATGTTCAATAGTCTCACCCGATTATTCTGGCTGTAATCAGCCCAGATAACTGTCTATTTTAGCAAAGCAAATACTCAGCAGTGTTACCATGAAGTGGTCGGTATTCGTAGCGTTTGTCTTAATACTTCGTGCTCAACAGTCAGACGCAGAAAGCGTAGCATCACCGAAGTCAGTCGTCTCAGTGGCTTTTTGTGATGATTTTGAGGCGCAGGGAAAAGCTACATTTCAAATAAGTGCAAAATCTTTGGAACCTGTTGATGGAAGGTTCCTTTCTGCTACAGGAATTGACCCAAGCCGTGGGAACCAACGATATGATCTCCCGGTATTTATACCACAAGGAGGAGTAAAGTACATCCAGGTATTTTCTACCTCTGGGGAGGATCTCTGCCTCCAAGCTGTATCTGTGGACACCAGCATCTTTGTTAAGCTGGCAACAAACTTCAAGACTACCTGCAGTGCAGAAGAAAAAACCTCTTCCCCACCCTGCAAAGAGTTCAAATCCAAGCTGAAGCCTTTGAAGGCAAAAAAAGTAGCAAAGTCACAGAAGTCGGGTGTCTCAGTGGCTTTTTGCGATGATTTTGAGGCGAAGGGAAAGGCATATTTTCAAATAAGTGCAAAAACTTTAGAACCTGTTGATGGAAGATTCTTGTTTAGCACAAGAATTGACCCAAGCCGTGGGATGCAGCGATATGATCTCCCGGTACTGATACCACAAAAAGGGGTAAAGCACATTAAGGTATTTTCTTCCTCTGGGGAAGATCTCTGTCTCCAAGCTGTGGCAGTAGATACCAATATCTATGTTGACTTGCCAACAAACTTTAAGACTACCTGCAGCGCCGAAGAGGAAACCTCAATCCCGCCCTGTAAAGAGTTCAAATCCAAGCTGAAGCCTCTGCGTGTTTGCCCGAACAAGATTTCCGAGTTGCTGAAAAGAGAACAACTCATTGATACCTTACCGTCCCCCGATACCGACGCGCGCCCGTTTGAGGTGCCGACTTATCATATTGCCGATGACATGGCCCAGGCAAGCTACGCTATAGTAGAAGGGATAGCAGATCTTAGTCGGAAGGGAGTCAAGGGCTATATGAGTAAGCTTAAGTCTGCAATGAAATTCTCCAAGCTCTTTCGCGTAGAAGGTACGCTTACCGCGATTAGCTCGATTTTGGGCGCGGTTGGACCCGCACTCAGTATCTTTGGCGGAATCACCAGTATCCTTACTACATTTTTGACTCCAAATCCATTTGACATGTTAGCCGAATATCTACAAGAGGAATTCGCCGCCCTACATAACCATCTTGACCGTATGGAGGGAGAACTCAAGGAACTTATCATGGCTGAAGGCGCCATGACTAGGATGGCTGATGCGGTAGCCAGCATTCGCTACTCTCTCAGAGAATTTGATGATATAGCGAGGTCACTAAAGAAAAATCCCGTATGTGGGACTGATAATTTGATCCGTGAGTACAGCGTCAACAGGTTTGTCTATAACTATAATCAAAGAGACACAGAACACAAGCTTCTGGATCTCTTGGAAGTTGAGCAGGGACTTCTTCCATTGACGTACTCACTTCTTAAGCCATTTATGAAAACGTACTGCAGAACAAACCCTGGCAAGGTCAAAAGGTTTATGACAGACATCTCCACCTACGCCTTCCTTGGGACGCAAGCCCAGCTATTTTTTACAGATCTTATTTGCACTATTTATAAGCTAAGAAACTGTGACAGCAAGACGAGTATGTGGAAGGACTATTTAAAAAAACTACTCTATGAGGCTAATGCTCTTATTGTAGCTTTAGAGAGTCCCACAGAGGGTTTTTATCAGTTTTTTAAAGATGATCTAAGGCGGGAGGTGAGCAGGGAAGTTGAAGGGGAGTCGAATACGGAGGAAGCTAAGTTAAATAGGGTAACTGACTTGTTTCTCTACTTTCTAAATGATCCGGAAAATTGGCCCAAGCGCTGCATTGTTGATTCTGACAACGACAAGGAAGTTGTTGCTTATGTGGTCGTTAAAACGAACGCACCTGTTCCTTATAAAAAGATGGGATACCTCAGTCCCTACTTCCTTCACGAAAGAGAGAGACTCGAACTGGTAAAATTGAAAATAGCTAATCTCCCGCACAAAGAGGAGGAAACAATGTTATATTACCTTAATTCAAAATTCCTTGATTGGGATTGTGGAGGCACTACGAAAAATTTCGAAATTTGCAACGTTTCAAATCATTTAGTAGGTGATCCCTTTGCTATGAAGCTATACAAGCATCCAAACGGAAAATTGATTTATATGGAAATTAACCCCGGAAATGGATACTTTAATTTTACAATACAGCCAGTCGATGTTTTCAAGAATACAAATATTGTTGCTCCTCTTTGGCTAGGATGTTGGAGTGGCAAAGGTTATGTAGTTAACGACCGCAAGTCTGGTGGAGGGCCAAAAGAGGACTACGCCTGTCCAACGCCCCATAAAAACTCGGATGACTCGGCGGCAACGGAAAATCGTTTCCTTTTGTTTTACAAGAATGAACCAAATTATCCAAAAGATGAATCCGAGGAAGGTTAAGTTTCAGGAGAGTTCCCCTAGATTCTCGGACACCGTCCCCCTCCCCCTGCCTTTATGACCGTGACGAAACAGCAAACATATGTAAATTTCTTAGATTGCTCAATTCCAACCTTAATATTAGTAGTCAGAGCGGCGGAGAGGCTGCCAATTACAAATCACGGGTCATTTTATGATTTCGCAAATTACAAACGGTTGTTAAAGTATCGGTCACTGTAAGGCATAGTTTTACTATATTTTTGCGTGATCATGGTGTTCAGGTCTGTGGTTGGAACTCAGATACATCGTGCTTTAATATCGCGCTCGTCATGGTTGAAGATATGTGTTTTGTGCAGTATTTGCATAGACTTCTAGATAATGATTTGTATGGTTTGCATTACGGCGTTATTAGAGTGAAATTACTATTAAAAGGGAATGTATCACCAATGTAACGAAAATCTTTAATTGAAATAAAATATGTTGCTCATAGGTAATCTTCAATTTTTTTTTCTGATATCCACAGCATCTATAAATGCTGAAGACTAGTACCTAAAACGAGAAATTTTATGTTCAAATTTACTAAAATCAAACCCTAAAGAGTTTTGAAGATATGTCAAAATTAGATGTAGCCAAAGGAACTAGTCTGGATCAAATATGAAATAAAATCCTCAAGCTGGCTGCTCCAGTTATTTACAGACAATTGACTGATTTTTGTTCAACATTTCTCTTTAAAGTCTAGAATTTCTCGACTACTGGAAGTTGGGAAAAGTTGTCCTCCTATTCAAACTTGATGAACGTAAAAATCCAAATACGGATCAGTGGAGTTGTATTTTTGGATCTTAAGACAGTATTTGATATGGTAGATTAGGAGCTTTTACTGACAAAATTTGAGTACACTGGACTTTGTGGCCACTCCTTCAAATGGTATAAATCTTAACTACAGTAAATTAACTACAACAGGATATGAATGTAGATTTACGGTACCTCCAAGACTCACCACGCCTTCGATACAGAAGATCACGAGCTTCTACGGACAAAATTAGAGTTTGTAGGAGTTCGTGACCATCCCTTAATTTTATGATGTGGTGTTCCCCAGGGTTCAACACTTGTGCCGCTTGTGTCTCTCATATATAAATGAATGATCCTAGTAATATATATTAGATCATGCTATCACAAAAATGTACGCAAATGATACTTATTTGACTTTAACTGCTTGCACGATATTTCTCTCATTTCTTTGTTGTTGTTGTTCTTACACAAGGGCAAAGCTTGATTAACGGAATTTCGCTAAAAAAAACGTAGGCAGTGGCTAATGTCTTTAGGTGTAGAAATTGACAAGTTTTTGACATGGCGATTTCATATCACAAGTGTTTAAAATCAAAGAAAGACTATCGTCAACTCGTGGGTACGTTGTTTAGAAAATAATCAAGTAGTTATCACCTCTGGTTTTCCCACAGTGAATTTTAGGAAATGATAGAAATTCAGATTATAAATATACTATCCTTGTTCTGGAAACACAATACTTCTCTTGCTGTTTATTGCACTTTAGTAACAGTTATTTAAGTAAATATTTAAAAACCAAAAAACAAAAACAACAGCAAAACAAATAGGCAAACAAGACAAAACAAAAAAGAAAAAAAAAGGGAAGAAAGGAAAAAGAAGGTCCTCAGCAGAATTTGAACCCGGTACCTTCGGGCTGACACGACTTCACATAGCCACTACGCCATTGAGGATGGTCACGTGATTTGGCGAAAAGTCTCAGTTTTAATGCCTTTTCCATGGAACTTCCGCCGGCAAACGATCGAGCCATACTTAACCGATTGAAAAAACGACTCGAAGCAATCGGATGAAATTAAGGCTAATTGAAACCAGGCTACTGACAGTAAAAAACAATGTAAACGCATTTCATGGCAATGAAAGAACATAAGCGATACAAAGCCGACACAAATCCTCCACGAAGTAGGATGCAAAACATTAGCTTATGTTTTCTTATCTCGATTTCCGCTGTTATTTTAAAGGTAATGCTCAAACTCCCATCCATTTCCCCCCGTGATCTTGGGGAGTCCTTACGAAGAAGAAGAAAAAGAAGTGCCTTTATTTACCATACATTTCACCAGTCCGTATTTTATAGTCCGTATTTTATACCCAGTCCGCAGTCCGTAGTCCGCAGTCCGTGTTTTATACTGACCGCCATAAATTCATTCATACACATAACCTACTACACTACTACAAGGTACGAGATCAAGCCAGCGTCGAAGTTGAAGGAGTCGAAGAGAAAATGCTCATCTTCTCGTCAAGTTTAACGCCTGGACGGATCAAAGGCTTTTGAATCGTACTAATTTGAAAGATTCCTGCGTGTCTTAAATTTGGTAAGACCTCTATCCTAACCGTGCTGTAGCGCACGATGCACGCTTTGAGCGAGGAATTTGATGCTACCGAACTTCGGCGAGCGCGTGCTTCTTTGGAAACGATAGATCTTCGCGCTCTCGAGTTCGGACCCGATTAATTACGAAGTGCATCTACTACGAGTGAGCGAGTGACTCATTTGCATATCTCAGTCCCTGCAATAACTCGTGGAACGCTCGCGCGTACCCACGAGTTAAAAAAGGAACTTCTGGTATAGAACCATACGTACTGCAGATGACATCAGTGACCGTCTCACAGACAAACTTCAAAGTTACAAAACGCAAGTTGCGCGTGTGATAACAGACGCCGATTACTTCGTCTTGACGCCGATAGATTAGTTATCAAGTAAGCTAGATTGGTCTAGTTTAGAGGAGAAACAAACACGAATCACTAAAATGATGTTTATTTATAAATGGTATGAACCCCGAGGTATGAACCCAACCTAGATAACGAGTAAGTTCAATCTGTAGACTTTCAAAAAGTCCTTTTTTTTTCCTCGCTCTGTCGCTGTGCGACCTCATGTCCTGAAGCTCGCTTCCCTCACTTTTAAGAACGTACGAGAGGTCGACTTGTAGCAAGTATACTTCAATCTCATTTTGTCTCAGTTCCAAACAGATTTGACAGTCAACGCGGAAAGTTTGCTACCTTGTCTCTAGTCGCCAATATTGCGCGGAAAACAAAGAGCACAGAGCAGCATGGGAAGGGTGCGAAATACTAGGGATCGTTCCCAAGTCACCACGTGAACCAGCCTAGTTCCCAGGCGTTTTCGGCTCGGTCATTCCTAAACTCTACCATGAGCTGTGACGTCAACGAGAGATACTTCGCGCGGACAACGGATCAAGAGAGAACGCCTAGGCACTAGGCTGCACGTGAACCACGTTTGAGCAAACAGTGGCCCCTCAAAAGAGACGGCCCTCTTCAGTAGGCCACTTGCGAGTTGCAAAACTGGCTCTCACTTTTCACACTTACGATACAAGGCTAAGTGCAAAACCAAATAAATGAAAATAAGTTTTAATTGAATGAGAATCAAAACGTATTTGCATATCAATAGCTTCGCCCTTAGCCTCGCTTTGGAAGAGAGGCTTGGGACAATTCCGAAATGACCTATTGCGCGTCACCAACCTCGTTCCCAGGGTCCTCTCTCTTTCTCGGATCGAGAAAAGAGGTCGGCGCGTTTCTCTCTTCGCTAAAAGCGTTCTTCATGAACGTTCAACTTTTCCGTTATATGCTCCCATGTTGTTGGAAACAGGAACTAACAAAGATTGAAGCCCAAGAAATCGTGCGTCTTTTACAGGAGATGGCAAAAAGCTTGGACTGCTCCACTCCGAATTCTTCGTCAAAAGGTTGGTAACTTTTTCTCTCTTCAAAATGCCGCTGACTGCTCTTCGTTTACAAACGATTTCGTCCACACGAGCTTTCCAAATATAGGCATACTTCTGAGCTTCAGAAGGGTTGGAAAGAGAAGGAACAAAGCATGGCCGCGTGAGCGCGCTATCAGAAATTTTGTTGATCGACATTCTTGATCTTGGATGGCCACTTCCTTGACGAGAAGCCTTTGATTGACTATCTTCTTTTTTATCGGAATCTGTAATTTCCTGAACAGCAACCTGATTACTTCCTTCCCTTTGTGGAGTGTCGAGCTGTGTTTTTGCAACCACCAATGCACAAGTCTGACATCTCTTTCCGGACTGACTGACGTCACCAGGGACAATCCGGTTTGACCGGTTTGGGCAGTCCACAAATGAGTGCCGAATGAATGGCGTCAAGCAATCAGGGGTAATCGAGCTGCTTTTTTCTCTCTCTTTCTCAACTTCTGTCACTGTCTCGAGCTCACTTTCTGCATTCATCAATTTATCATTTAGGTACATTTGTACATCAGTCGCCAGAGTTTTCTTCTTCAAAGTGGTTTTAGGAACATTTACCCTTTTGGCGGTATCTTGCGAAGGTTCTTTGCGACTCGTTGCTTCTGTTTCTTGGTTTTCATCCGGTTGTTTGTAAAGTTTAGTTCGCCCGTTTCTCTTTCTAGCAGTAGACACTCTCTGCGGTTGGGTAAAATTCGTTGTCATGCTTTTTTTTGTTCCTTTAGATGTACTAGTTGATCTAACGAACGAGGTGATTCGAGTTTGTCTGAATTCTTCTCTTGCATCATAAACTTTGCCACAGAACTCATTCTTCCACCTTCGTTTATGTATCTCAAGGCCTTCCAGCTTGTCTATCAGAACCCTTGTTTCTTGAGGGTTTTTCTTTAAAATTACTTGGCCCACTTTGCTAACTGAAACATTGTGAATGGTTTCGCAGGCCAACTTTCTCTCCACTGTCTTTTTACGGCTCATAGTTAGTGCGTATAATTGTCGATGAACAATGTCTCGAGATCAACAGGGCAATTTGTTTACAAAGTGATATATTTTCCTGTGTACATCTGTAACTAAGAACCACTGTTAATTACTCGTTCACAAGATCATTAGCACCTTATCATTTTAGGCCGTAATATCAATGTACATTTTCTCTATAGNGGCCAACTTTCTCTCCACTGTCTTTTTACGGCTCATAGTTAGTGCGTATAATTGTCGATGAACAATGTCTCGAGATCAACAGGGCAATTTGTTTACAAAGTGATATATTTTCCTGTGTACATCTGTAACTAAGAACCACTGTTAATTACTCGTTCACAAGATCATTAGCACCTTATCATTTTAGGCCGTAATATCAATGTACATTTTCTCTATAGTGCTCTACGCACATTTCACACGCTACTCACAGGAAAAATTTGTTCAAAAATCAACACACTGTAACTCTGCGAATCATTCGCTATATTTTGGTCAAAAATAAGGGGGACCGGGCTCCCCGGGCCCCTCCCCTAGATCCGCCACTGCAATGATATCATAAAGGAGATATCATCTTGATCACAAAGGGTTATTAGGTAAATCTAAAATACGACGTAATCAGTGAGTACAATTTATCACTTAATTAACCGGTAATTGAGTGCTAAAACGTTTCTGTATCTACTTTTACAAAAAATAATTACAAAAAAAACTACGGAGAATAAAAGCTTCAGACAACAAGTCGTACAATACCCTAAAATTCAGAATATAGGTAAAACCCCGATTTTTATTTTCCTTTTACTAAAAACATAGGGGTGCACCTATCTTGGTCCTCGCCACAACTCATTCCGAAATTAACCACTCCCCACTTTCTAAAAAAACTACAAAAACTACAAAACTACATTTACGTCAATCCAAACCTCCCGCCTCCCGTATCTTACATCCCCGGCTTCCGCGTCTTTTCTCTTGGCTTCCTCCCTTTAGCCCTTTTTCGATTGCGAAATATTGCGTAATTCTCCCTACTTCTCTCACTTCTCACCCTTTTAGAACTTTTTCTCTCCCACCTCCTGTACCCATTCCGTCCCTTATTCTCCAGGACATCCACACCCTGTCTTCCCACACTTATTTTTCCAACCATAATTCAGAGGACGAGGAGCACCTGACATCCGGCGAAGACGTTGCCCGCCCCGCATTAGCCTCCGGAACGTAACGCGTTACGTTTGCCCCGCCTTCCTTCCCCCCGTCGCGCGTGTCTCGCGCTCCACGTTTGCTTCATGTTTACCTGAAAAACGCAAAAAAAGCGCCAGTTCTTGCAGGCTGGCCCCATCTCAAACCTCATCACCCCTCATTTCTCTCTGTGAGGCGCATCTCAGTAACATGAATACATGGAGTTTCATCTTGATTTCCGCTCGTCTTTCCCTTTCCTTCCATTGGAAAAAAATTAGCTAAGAAACACATGTGAAGACGTCCCTCTCGATTTTGATTCCGTTGACATCTACACTTCGAAAGCGGGCGCCGTTAATCATAGGTACCCTTCACCTAGATAGCGTTCTCGGTTTTATATGCATAGCTTAGTTCATTATAACTTATATTTTCTATTTCCCTGCTGATCTCATCATTTTCAGTGACCACAGGCCTCTACTACACGACAGACTCTGTCTCTTCCCTTGGCGTTAGTTTGTAGAACGTGTCACGCTGTTTTGGTCTTTGCAAAGGATGGGCAAGTAACGCAGCCATGTGGTCAAACAAACGTGTAGTACTGCGTGACACCTCTAGGATGTAGCCTTCTTCTTCTTCATCCATGTCACAGAAGTAATCATAGACTTCCTGCAGAGGAAGCAGGTAAAAGGATCAGGGAGTTACCCGTCCGGGGGTATACTCAACAAAGTTTTATACGCGGAGGATTTGCCCCGAGGTCCAATCCCTTACCCTTTTATATACCAAAGGTACCCCTTTTGTATAACTTACATTGACGAATGGTGACCTTTTCGAATACATGTACCTAGTTTAGAAATTTGCACCTCTTTAAACTGCTCGAACCACACTTTCTTTTAAATATGAATCAATCAAAAAACTAAAAAATTTTCTCGATTTCAGTCTTTTTGGGAGCCACAGAATCTTTCTGTAGCCCTTTTAAGCCATTTAATCAGTAGAAACGGCGTTATAGAAATAAAGATGATGATGACGATGATAATTATTTTTATTATTATTGTCAGAACTCTGAGGAACCAGAATGAATCACACTCAGTGGAACAGTATTCCTCAAAGTGTCCGAGTACTCCCTAAACACAAATTTAAGGCTTCTTTACATTAGCTTCTTTTACATATTTTAGAATTGGACGATACTCATGTTGACACCAAAAAACTTAGGAAGATGACATAAAATGTAAAATAAGTTTGTGATTTTGTTATGTTGTATCGTAATAACTTCAGTCAATCTTCTTGTGTCCTCAATCTCTTCCCAGTGAATTACTTTATTTTTCCCTCTGCCCACCTCGATTAGCCAAGCTATACGCGAGCTGAGGATTTTTGCATGCACATGTACATTTATGGTTAATTCATGTTTGTAACCTAAAAACAGTCAAAAATTCCAACCGGAAAAATGCGACAGCTATACAGGTATGTTGCAAATGAATCCACCCCATATTAGATAATTCTTCCGTTTAATCCTAAACCTGATAGGTTAAAGGGGCTGTGTCACGGCAGTCCAGTTCATTTTGTTTGATTTTGCCAATTACTCGTCCTCAATCGCTATGGAACTTAAAGTAGGCAAAGAAATTAAGGACGGGTAAATGACAAAATCAAAGATCCGAGACAAACAAATATGTCTCCTGAGCATTATTTTTGAATTTGCAAGCAGCAGGGATCAACTTTGAAAAACTGTTAGGCTGCATAGTTTTCAAAAACCCTAATTTTAATCCTTTTCAATCTTCTTCAGTTTTGCCCATCCGTGGCACCTGTTGTTTCTGTTATGTTATTTTAACCTTCCTTTAAAGTTTTAAGTGGTTATTTTTATGTTTCTCCTAATTTAATGGGCATTTTTAAATTTCCTAATTTGGCTGAATTTCGTGAAACAGCTCCTTTAGAAAACCTGTTTTGAAAATTTTACAGTAACATTCATACTAAGTATAAGTATAAGTCTTATACTACTCACTTTGCAAAGGTTAAGCTCAGATGGTAGCTCATGAACGTACAATACATCAAGAAAGAAATATGGTGACACCAGTAGTGATGACAATATCTGAAACAAATAAAACATGAAAATGTTGATTTTATAAATAATAATTATCAATAAAATAATTATTATTTTGAATAACAAAGGCTTAACTTTCCTAAATATCCAGTAAAGCATTATTCTCCAGCAAGTTTGCCAAAAACGTGCTTTGAAGGTAATCAAGCTGTTTGGCCCAACAACGTTGGGAGTTGTTTTGTCCGTGTTTGCAGTAGTGTGCAAATGGATGCAACATTGCTGCACTATGCTTTGGCAATCATGGAACAAAAGAAATGTTGGGAGTTGTTGGCGTCAAACTTTGAACCATTTCAAGCTTTGTGCAACAACTCCCAACAACACGCAACAACATGCAACACTGGGTGTCCAAACGGATGCAACATGTACAGTAACCTCCAAAAATGTTCCATCTGTTCGCATGGGATTTTAGATGACAAAGTTGCCCTGACTGTTAAAACTGATTACATCATAAGGGGTACAACAGATGTGGATCCGCATTGGCCTTAACGCCCAGTTCAGCGGCAAATGGGTTAAGCAGTAGATACATAAACATCTACTACCTGCTAAAAGACATAACATTAATTGGCAGAACAAAGACATGAACAAACCTGCTTGCCTTCTGGGGACAATTTGGGCATGCACAGCGAGCGTCCATACACTAAAATAAGTCGAAACACACAAGGAGGAGGAAGCAAGATGTCTTCTACTTCTGGTAAACTAATGTTTTCCTTGCTGATAAGGAGAAGAACATGCCTAAGATTAACAATGTACTACCTGACATTGAAAAACTTATTTATAAAAAAAGACTTAAATAATGAATGAGTGACTGGGAAACAGCCAGTAACAGTATCTTCTGATGCAAGTTTAGATTCTCCCTACACATTTTACTTCATTTCCTGTAAAATGAAGGGAGAATTTGAAAAAAAATCACAAGTTTCATGTACTTAGGATTTTTTCCATCTACCCTCATAATATTATTACTTACATTGCTTCAAAGAGGTCGCACATATCTAAGGAAAAGTCAAGGTTCTTTAAAATGGACACAATTCACAAGACAATTTAATGGATTCAATAGAATTTTGTGTGGCCTACCCTGAAGCTCCAAAAAAATGTAAACAGTTCAAGTGTTACAATATGCTACAGGGTGCAAAGAAAGTCATTTTTACAGCTTGCCATTCGGGCAAGCTGAAGCTAACATTTACTAGCCCAAACATCATTTCAACTAGCCCCAAAAACGTTTTGATGAGCAGATTGATTTCACAGTTTTTCTGTAATTTGTATTCCTCAAAAAACTTCACTTGCCCGTCGGGCAAGTTGATAACAGAATTCACTCGACCAATAGCAAAATCTAGTAGCCCCGGGCTATCAGACACTACTTTCTTTGCCTGCTGTGCTAGAATAGACACTGGCCAGACACCATCAAAAACATGTCAAAATGCCGCTAACAAGACTATAGCTCCTTGTTGTTAACAACATTAAATTTCATTTAACTGCATTTAATTTTGAACATTTACATATATATGCATTTTATCACAAAAGAAAATGCTTGCTACTACTGCTATGCCCATAATACACCTTGTTTGCCCCACAAAATTTTGCATAAGCTTTGTCTTGAATTTCTCTTGGGATGACTATAATGCCCAGTGGAAATTTGAAAGGGTGGTTAATGCAATCAATGTTGGGAGTCAAACAAAGTGTATCATGGACAATGTTAAAGTGGCAAAAATATATGTAATGACTAAAGATCAACAAGAACTACATGATCTACAAGATAACTTTTTCTCACACACAACTGGGAGCCATGTGAAGCTGGCCATGCAGCCCGAACTTTATCATATCAACACCACAATTCATTAGTGTTTCAGCACAGAAAGAGAGCTAATAAAATGGCTGACATGAAAGTGAGCCTAGATATAAGAATAACCAGAAATCAGGCAAAACTTGAGATCCTACAACAATCCTGAAAACACATAAATGGCAGGTGGGCAGGGCAGGGCAGGTAATGGCAGAAGGCAAAAAAAAAAACTGAACTCTGAAAATGCTATGTGTGACCTGAAGACCGCCCGCAGACTTGAACCTATAGTCCTTTGTTCCTTAGCCGGTGGAAAAACACACACACTTTTGGGGTACATGTAGCTTAATTCACCCTAGCAGGCCCTTCAGCAGGAAGTCCTCCATTTCCCAAGTTTGTATTACTTTCAAAAAGATACCAAATTCACTTTGCGATGAAATTGTATCCTCAGGACTCAGGCGATTCAATGTGCTGCAGATGACTTCCACATCACTGGTGAAGTGTTTGTACTAAAAGCAAGAAGTGTCAACTATTAATAATCAAAGTAGCTTTCTAATACCTTAAAGGTGAAATGCAAATAAGTATTAATTACTTGTAAGCACTTGTGTCACTATCTCACAGAGCTGCAAATGAAATTTGGTCATTAAACAAAGTCCAGCATAAATTTTTGAATTGTCTCTAATAAGCCCCTTCCCCTGGATCTGCCGCTGTGAAGGGTAGGGGTTTCAAGCAGTTTAGCCTGGGTATTGTAAAGTTTATGAGAGAAAGATCGGTAGTGTGAAGAAATGACACAAATCATTATTTTGAGTGCAGGGCGTGGCCCATACATGTACATGGCAAAACTTCAACTTTGCAAATTTATGGTTACTGTAGAAATCTGAATATGTTGAATGTAGGGGCTTTGACTGAACCTAACAGTAGAGAGCTTACCCAAGAAGCCTTATCATCTAGAACCATGATGGAAAACTGGTGAAGGGGGTTCATTTTTGACTTGGTTTTCACAAAGATCCCTGCTGATCTCTGGACAAGTTGAAATATTGACCTATGAAATCGTAATTAATATTAGTACACTGTACACCTTATTTCATTGATAATTTATCATATAATAGAATGCAAAACAATGTGTTTCCTGGAATTGAGGTGCCCATGCTCTAATAAGCTCCCTCCCCCAAATAGGCACCCAACCCACTAGGCTATAATATTAAACAAGCACCATTACGCTTAAACTTTGGCCCCTTTGGTCAACCTCCGTCTTCCAATGAATGCCCTCATTTTATAGCTGTAGCTATAATTTTAAATAAGGGCCCTGGCACTTATCACAGTACAATACAGTATTAATTTTATGAGAGATGCTAAAGATCTTTCTATTTCAAGCTGGGTAGGGACCCTTGAGACTAAAACACTGTGCAAAACTAAACCATTCTTGAGGTGATTATGAATCCAATGGGGCCTGACTCAGCTTACATTTTGTTAGTCCAACCTGATCTTTACGATAGTTTATTCCACATGAGACCTCCAAGCAAGCTACAGTAGTTACAGAACAGTTGTAATAGTTACAGTTACAGTAGTAGATCAAATTTCTTGAATGGAAAAAGAACAGACAGATTTTCTCTCAACTTGCACCACAGGCATCCAAAGCTCCCATTACAAGAGTGGAATGTAATTTACTTTATTATATAAACACCAATGAAATACCAGGTGAGCTTTCGTGTGAAAACTTGATATCTTCACATGTGAAAATAACATGTTATCTTCCCATGTGAAAATATCACTGTTGCTATGGCCACATAATAAATCGCGCCTTTCTCACCGAAAAACTATCAAAGTGAAATGGTTTGGTATTTCATTGGTGTTTATATAATAAATAGAACAGTACATGGCCGCTTGCGGATACGAAATTTCTCTTCTTGTGTACTTTTCAACACTCGAAGAGAAATTTTGTATCTCCGCGCAGCCATGTAATATCCTATATTTCTCACAAGAGAGTTGTTTTCACTTTAAAGGTGACCTTTGATACATTGTATGAGAAATAAAATACTGAGGTCTGCAAATGCTGAATACCATTTTGACGTTTTCTTCTTTAAAATAAGTGAAGGAGACTAATACCTTTGATGTATTCCTGTGTTTTCTGATATGAACTGATTTAGTTGCCTTTTTGGCTTTATTATTTGACCCCTGTAACTCCATTTGTCTTATGACTAGCGTTATACGTTACAAAAAAATGTACAAAGAGTTTTGGTATTAAATTTGATTGAAATTTCTAAAGATTTCCTCATTTTTATTGATTCAAAAATCGCTGAAGCAGGTTTTGATTCAAAGCCTGTTGGCTACTTTTTAATAAACATTTTGCTCGTAGTCTCCATGTCACGTGCACGTGAACACTCTAAATTATGCACTCATCTTTTATCCAGTTATGAATATCTCATAAGCTTGTCGATATCAGTCATTGTACTTCGTGAATAATTCACTGTATGCTTTAAATACACGCATAATAATGAGCCCAAGGTGACCATAATAACCTAAAGGAAAAGAATACTTGTATAATTATGTGTTAGGGATACTGACATACCTGTCTGGAACACTCTTACACTGAAAGGACATTGACTTGGTTTCTGGTGACAAATCCAGGCACAAAATCTGAAGAACAGGTGAGACCTCTTCACTTATATGCTTGTAACAATCTTTAGCATTTTTGATACTTAAAAGGGCTATGTCAGAGATAAACGGCTTTTTTGGGTCAATTCTGTGCTTAAGTCATTACTCCTGTAGAGTTAATGGGGGACATTAAGATAAACCATTCTCACCCACAGGTATGGGTAGGCAAAGACGTTTTCCATGTAGTTATATAACACGCGACCATGATTTCCCTGATAAATGTGGTAATGGCATCATTACATTACCTGCTAGCTATAGCATAGCCATTTCACCAGGGAAAGAGGCAGTCAATGTTTATTTCCAGATAACGGATAGCTATAGTTATTTTATCCCTCCCTGTACATGGAAGCAGCCTATCTTAAGGTCCCTATCATTGCAACCATACTTACAATATACTCAGGACAGTTGACTTGTGGTGGCCTGCTTCTCTCATTTTCTGAACTCTCTGAACTAACAGATCCACTGTCCCCTGTCACAATTGGCTGCGCGTTTGGTAATTTATTGCCTTCTCCCTTATCCTCTTCACCATCACCGCTAACACGTTCCTCGCCATCAATATCTATTAATAATCTCTCTTCGTTATCCACCTGATCTTGGGTAGCATCACCATCATCATGCTCATTTTGTTCACCTTCCATTTAGAAATGAGTCTTTGATCTAGAGTTAAAACAAAAGATTAATAACCAGTATAAAAAATCATTGACTGCAAAACTGATAAACATTTTGGGAGTGTCTTTCTGGTTCTCATATATTGCTGTCAGCCTACCTATGAAATAACTTCCAGTGCTGCCTAGGATACTGTTTTGATATGAGAACAGAAGTCACCGGCAACAGAGGCAATCATAGTCTTAACCACAAGAAGGTAGCCTGAGAAGTTGACTTGAGTTCAACTTGCAGGCATGTGAGCAATCGTAAAGACCTGTAATGGCTGTTGCTGCTAGCCTGAGAAAACAGGCAACATTCTGCAACACCACCACTGGTTTCCTTGCAAGATGACATCTAAGAAATGAGCACAGAAATTCGATACTGATGACGCTTCACCAGTCCAACCCTCCAAGTTAAAGTTTTTGCTTGGTCGCCATTTGTCAACCAACTCTTTTGGTTTAGGGAGACTCTTTTAAAAATCACGTCGCCAGCTCCTAAATTTTAGACGCCATGGCAACCAAAATGGTCGCAACGTAGAGTGTTGACCACCCAGATATGGGTGGTGCTTCTGATTGGTTGTGCCGCATGGGAGATTTGCTTCAACCAATTAGATACAGTACCCAGATCTGAATAGTGATGGAATGGAATTGTTGCACTCATTTCTCAGACATCATTTCACCTGGAAACAACCAGTGGACCAAAATGTCTGCTGTTTAATCAGGCTATGCTGCGCCCGGCAGCACATTTTTCTATATGTCAGAATATATAGTATAAGGCAGGATCAGCAGCTACATCACAAGAAGGTCAGTGGCCATTAAATTCAGGCCAGCTTAAGTTTTCTTTCATTTCAACTTAAATATATTGCAATAAATTGCAAACTTGCAATTGCTCACAAGGATGGGGGGGTAATCACTGAAAAGATTGTCAAGATACTTATGTTTAGATTGGTTTAAGATTATTATTCAGAAATAAAAGTTAAATCTAGTATTAGTACTGATAGCTTAAACTTTCATGAAGCTAAAGTAATTTTAAAGGGCAAATTAAATTAGAAAGCTGGGAGAAAAGCCACTCATGATTTAGATTATAAACACCAATGGACATTCCTCGCCAAGGTCATTTTTGTACAAATACGTTAACTGAAACTCGGCAAAATTACTTAAACTGAGACTACCGCGAATTATATCTCACCATCGTATTCAGCATACAGCAAACATGTGTCACATGTTTCCGCCGTCCGCCATGTTGGCCATGTCGAATTGTTTGGAAAACTAGGAACAACCGTTCAATTCCGACAGATGGGAAGCTTGGGGACAAGAAACGTCATCTCTGTGCACGTGCGCAGTGAGAAGTTAGTCAGCAGTCAGTCAGCAGAAAAGATTTTTAGACCGGTTGCACTTTACAGTTTTGCCGTAAAAAGCCATGGCGCATCAGTAAGTCTACATTCATAATCTTGTTAAGTAGTTCATTTGTACTTTTCTGAGTCCCGTGTCCGGATTTCTTGTTTGAATTTCACAGTTACAACAGTTGAAAACATGTATTCTAAGGGACAAGGTGACACGATAATGCATTGTGGTGAATCGCTCAAAAGTTGTGGTCTTTCACTTAGCTCTTAGCTTTTCGATTACATCGTGAACATATCAATTATTATCCAGTTGACTATTTAGACTTCGAAGTTTATCCGAGTGCCAAATGTTTGAGCCCTTTTGTCGACTTTTTGCCAAAGCGATTTTCATTTTCGTCCGTGATGAAAAATGAATGTTAACGCTGGTTAACGTAGTCTGACTTCCTGTTGACTTGTGTTGCAGAGAAGAACTCGCCACGGCTATCTTAAAGAACAAAGCAAAGCCAAACCGTTTGTTAGTGGAAGAGGCTATAAACGATGACAATTCTGTGGTAGCTATGTCTCAGGTTTGTTGAAAATCATAGTATTGGTGATAAGTTTTGCCTGTGGAGCTTTTGTTCCCTTTCACTGTACATGCATTTTCACTTTCTTTTTTTACTTTCCTTTACAGGCGAAAATGGAAGAATTACAGCTCTTCCGTGGTGATACAGTTCTCATTAAAGGGAAAAAGAGACGAGATACCGTAAGTAAACTTATGATACAGCATATCTAGAAACTACTACCGCTGTATGCTGGACGTTACTGTACTTACGTAATGTTTTAACGAGAAATTTGTAGCTATTTTTATTCAAGCCCATCAATTATTTTTTTTACGAAATATCTTTACTCTCTGCACATTTAAATTGCCCAGCATGCAGGAGAAATCTGTACAACTTTGTTGTTACTTGATCACCTCATTTGACAGGTTTTGTCTTGTGTCAAGTGCTGATTGGCTAAAAATAAACTAGTCATTTCCAAGAAAAGCACTGCTTTTATTGTGAATTTATTACTTTGTCATTGTAAAAAACAATGAAACTCAATAGGTTAAACAGACATCATGTATTTTATTCAAACTCTTAGAGATCTCATTGGGTCACTTAATTTAAATGAACTAAGATTTTCGTATAAACATGGAGTAGATGATCTCACCCTAACATCCCAATCCACTACGCACTTACTGAAACTTCTGCTCATACACAGATCTTGAATTTAGTACTTAACATGGCACTACTAAAGCCTGGGTGAATAATAACATTTTGAGAGATCACTAAGTTATCTTGGGTCATCTTTATGAAACTTTCCATAAACTGGGAGAAGTGATGTCTTCTACTAAGAACTGAACACGTACAGGTCTGAAGTCCATGCATGAATATGAGATGTTAACAAGAGATGTACTATTTGGTGAATGTATGTATGAAAGTACATGTAGTTAATGTTACTAATGCAAGGTTTTTTTGTTAGGTCTGTATTGTGCTGTCTGACGAGTCAGTACCTGATGACAGAATACGCATGAATCGGGTTGTGAGGAGAAACCTTCGTGTGAGACTTGGTGACATTGTCAGGTACTTATATACATGTTCATACAGACAAACCTCGGGTTTAATTGACCACCTAAATGTTAAGATGCAGAAGTGCTTATAGAAGGTGATCGCTTTGGGAATTGGATGACAGGGGATCTCTCATTAGGAGAGGTCCAGATACAGTACATTTACATGTATATACTTTTAGTAGAGAATTTATTGCATGGATTTCTAAGTCTCGGTGTAGTTCTTTGTTGTCAGTAAAAGTTCTTCACATACTACAAATACTTAGCACATGTAGATACATGAAGTGAGTGGAGAGATCAGACTCTGTGTTGAGTGATCACTTTCAAGGGGTTAACCCTCTAAGCTCTAAGAATGATCAGCATAAAATTTCTCCTTATAATATCAATGCTTTATAAAACAGACTGGTCAGGAGAATTGATGGCATGATCAGGAAAGATAAACCTAATTGATACTTCAACAAATTCTCCCCACTACTTCTATTGAAAGTATATAGGGACAAATAACAAGATTAACAATTTTGATATTAGGTTTTCAAAGGTTAAAATCATCACCTCCAAAAGTGGTTTATTATGAGTGGTGATTGTTCGCAAGAGGTCTCAACTGTGGGGCTTTGACTAGGAAAAAGGTGGTTGGTTACTTATGGAAGATGGTCGCTCATGGAGGATTAAGTGTCTTAGTAAACTTGATATTATTTTATTTTACTCACTTTTGAATAAATTATACATGTATGCAAGTTTTCATCTTTTTGGGCAAACAGATAAATAACTTGATTTATGAAGAAAACTGAAAAAGGGGCAGTTGCAAATAACCCCCATTCCCTTCCCCATTGTACCAATTTACTGTACTTGCTGTATCCGAAAGTTAATAGAGTGGAGAAGTCATTACGTCTATTGCCATGGAAGCAAAACTTCTGGATGACAACAAACTGAAAACGTCACTTAAAAAGTGGACTTGCATTGTGGCGAAAGTGTCTGGGTTAAATCTGAAACAGCTGTATTTGAGTGTAGATAAAGAAAAAGATATTTTTGTGTGGTGTTCACCTACCTCATAAAGCAGGCCAGTGAAATTAGGAAGTTTCACGTCGCAGTAGTGCAACGATGGCTAAGAAATGTACTACAAAAAAGTGTGATGCACGTGCAGAGTTGTTGTTTTGCTAATATAAACCTATTGCTGTTTTGCTGTCCTCGTTGCCGTCACCATCGCACCCTATTGTTGTGATACAGAAATGTTGCTACCATGATAATGTGGCATCACACTTCTTCTCTCCGTAATACTAATTTTCCTTTTTTTGTCACAGTGTCCAAGCATGTCCTGAAGTCAAGTACGGCAAGAGGATTCATGTGTTACCTATTGACGACACCATAGAGGGCCTAACAGGGTTTGTAGCGCACTGTTTTGTTTTACCATGCTTAGAATGAGATAATAAGATCAAAGATAGGATTTTCATGGCTGATGTCTTAATGTTATCTCCACAGCAATTTGTTTGATGTCTATTTAAAGCCTTATTTCTTGGAGGCCTACAGACCAATCAGGAAAGGTAAGGATTAGACTTGGTCAATTTTTTTACGAGTCTTCCTTTCTTCCTGTGGAATATTAAAAAACAGACATTGACATTAGATGAAAAGTCACTCAGGGTATTTTATCATGTATCCCTTTCTGTTCTCTTCAATAAAATTAATATGCAAATTCTAACTTTTAAAAAATAGCTTTTAGAAGCTGCTTTTTTGCATAATAAATAATGTACAAACTTACATGTCGCAAAGAGAAATGCAGCTCTGACTAGCTAACCACTTACAATAAACCTACTACCTACATCAACCTACATTAGTTAATTGATTATTGTACAATGATTGTTTCAGGTGATCTGTTTCTTGTGCGTGGTGGTATGAGAGCTGTTGAGTTCAAGGTTATTGAGACTGATCCAACACCGTACTGTATAGTTGCACCTGATACTGTGATTCACTGTGAAGGAGAACCAGTCAAAAGAGAGGTCAGTCTCGGCTTTCTTCTGAATGGCAAAATAATAAGTAACAGTAATTTGAGCCATATAGCCTCCCACAAAGATACGTTAGGGCTTCGTCACACATTCCTACGAGCTAGAACAACTGCATGGGAGGCTCTTTGAGCCAGTGCTGATAGTTCAAGCTGCAATGCCTGCTGCAGGTGAACTCCCTTGATGTTATGGGTTATTATGCTAGTTAACCAAAGCAGAGATCATACATAGGCATTAAAATGTCATAGGCAAACATTCTGATTCTATATCTACTTCAAAACTAAATGACACCATGTCTTTTGTAACAAATTGTTCTGTAGTAACATTGCATGATCAATTTCCAATGTTTGACATGTTATCACACACAGTTCTCATTACTTTCCCTGTGCAGGAATTTGTACACAGCAAAGTTTATCAACAAAAATTGGTCCTCTGACTTCTTTCCCGTAACAAAACCCATCCACCTTATTAATCATGTTTCACTGCTTCTGCACAATTCAGATCACATAATACAATGTATGTTATGTTTAAAAAGTTCTGGGGCTGTCATTAAGAGGTAGGGGCCGTGGATTTCCCCAGGCTACTATTAATGTGGCCCCCGCGACTTCCATAGGAAAATAAAGGAAATGTAGCACTAAAAGAATTGTAATCCCTAGCCGTTTTATTTCATGCCTACTTGTTGTATTTACCGGGCAACTTGAAATCTTAGTGACATCCCTGACCTTTGAAATCCAGGGCACCTTCTATCTAAGTTTGTCCACAGCTTAACCTTTTCTTTTTACTCGAAGGCGAAAGTAAGTTGCCTGGCACAATTGGTAATTTAAGTTTAGGGCTTGTTTTGTTTAGATGCGTTAACGAATGATAAATTATATTGCTGGGCTTTAGGAAGAAGAGGAGTCATTGAATGAAGTTGGTTATGATGACATTGGAGGCTGCAGAAAACAGTTGGCTCAAATTAAGGAGGCAAGTGCAGACAGTCACCTGTCCTAGCTACAGTTCTCTCAATTAGATGTGAAATTTTTTATTTCCCCTAGTAGCAGATGTATCACACTAAATCTCAATTTCCATGACCTTCATTTCAGTAATTTTGTTGTTTTGACGTTATCTCCTCTTGTTTCTCACATACATGTACATGTATAGTGGAAACTTGTCAGGGTTTTCACCTAGTGGCTCTACAAGCATGAGCATCAAAATATAATCAAAAGAACTTCCTAGCTGTTCAGGGCTGTCAAAAGAATTTTGAGCAGCAGGCTGATAATGAATAGTAGGCAGCTTTGGAACTTGCACCAAAGGCACAAGTTCTTGAGGGCTGAGGCATCTAGGGACATCTTGAAATTTTAGAGTCTCAGAAATGGCATTTCCAGGGGTTTTCAAGAGGTATTTTCCACCATGGACGCCATGTTGTTTCATCAGAATACACTGGGAACAATGCCATTGATCCACGACATTGCATGGTTTGAACTTTTCACAAATCTAAGCCTATTTAAATATGCGTTCAATGTCATTCAAAACTGGGAAGCGGATGTCTTACAATTTTATTCGATGGTGCTTATTTTTTGTTAGCAGTTATGGTAGAGGGGGAGCCAGCTAAAGATGGCTAACTAGCAGGCGGTTTTAGCCGGCTTCTGGCCCCTATTGACAGCCCTGGCTGTTCAGTTCCTTGCCAACTAATTGCATGCACCTGTCAAGTTAAAATCTCAGTGACATCCCTGAGGCTCTTTACCACAGCCTCTTTGTGAAATCAGTGGGTCCTATGTTATTCAAACTGTGTTTTGATTTGGTCTCCTTCAGATGGTGGAACTACCACTCAGACATCCCCAGTTGTTCAGGGCTATTGGAGTGAAGGTAGGGTGATCAGAAGTAAATGAAAAAGCAAGTAAATTCAATAGAAATTTTGAACAAGATGAGGTCTCCCTAATTTTCAAAAAAATCCCCCAAATTTTTGTGTTCTTCCATTTTTTGCATTTGCAACTTATTTAAAGTTGTTTGATCGCAAAATAATATTATTTCAGAACTAAAACGAATACAGAATAGCCAGCTTTGTGTCCAGTTGTAGGCTTTTTGAAGCAAAGTATTTCCAAAAAATTAGCACTTATTACTTAATCACACTTTTAAGTAAGTATTTCAAGGATGCTTGACCTTTGATTTTGTCTTGACTGTTATAGCCTCCTCGTGGTATTCTTCTGTATGGTCCCCCTGGAACTGGAAAAACACTCATGGCGAGGTAGGTGTCCATTTTTACTGCCAGTAGTCAGTGCATGTAACGTGTGAAAAGTATTTAATATCATTGTTCTCATTAGATTTATAATACTTGCATATCAGCATGTGCTCTTACAAATTGTGTAGCTGCAAATGAAACATTTGTCTTTGTTGTTGCAAGAAAGAAGTGCTCTTGTAGTAACCTTGTTCAATGATTAACGTTTGTTAATTGATTTGACAACTATGCTTAATTATATGCATTAATTTTTTGCAGGGCTGTTGCCAATGAGACAGGAGCATTTTTCTTTTTAATTAATGGTGAGATTTTTGTTTCCTGGAATATTATAACCAAACTAGTTTTCAATATTTAGGTCAACTGGTCAGATTTTAAACTTACTTGTTGTATTTTTAATTTTTTCTTTAGGTCCAGAAATCATGAGTAAACTTGCTGGTGAATCAGAAAGTAATCTTAGGAAAGGTACTGTACTCAAAAAACTTGTGTTGTATGTCCAATTTCATGGGCTTGCCTTTTTATGAATAAATTATTTTAAATGATTCTTAACAATTCTAATGCTTTCTCTTTTTAATCTTAACAGCTTTTGAAGAGGCAGAGAAAAATTCACCTGCCATTATTTTCATTGATGAGATTGATGCAATCGCTCCAAAGAGAGATAAGGTGAATAATACTAATGTACATCAACTTGTCACTAAACTATGGACTATAATAACCACAGTCCATGGACATGGTAATACAAGTCAAATTAAAAAAGTGTACTCTCAAAAAACTCTTTAAAAACTTTTTAATAGATAACTGTACTCAATATTGTTACTTACATGTATGTTTACTGTATGTGTTCAGTTAAATAATCCCTGTACAATCCCACTGTATTCCTGTGACAGACACATGGCGAGGTGGAAAGGAGAATTGTCTCCCAACTCTTGACTTTGATGGATGGCCTAAAGCAGAGATCTCATGTCATTGTAATGGCGGCCACCAACAGACCCAACAGCGTAGATCCAGCTCTCCGTAGATTTGGTAAGTCATCTTTCATCACAATAAATGAGTCTTTGACTGTGATGATGACTTCTCCTGGTAATTCTTAGAGGTGGTGTTCCTCCTCTTTCTCAAAATCCTGACCCTATGTCAACTGTTTCCTCAGGCTACTCCTCAAATTATATTGCTCCTGGACTGGTCTGCTCAGGGCTATTAGTTTTTTCTATTTCTGAGTGGCTGTGCTCTCTCTATTTTTTTCGCAATTATTTCCTTGAAATCATTTTACTCCTTTTGTATCAAGAGCACAATAAAGATTGTTGTTGTTGTTGTGGTTGTTGTAATGTAAGCTGTATTTCTGCTTCAGGTCGGTTTGACAGGGAGGTAGATATTGGTATACCTGATGCAACTGGTCGTCTGGAAATCTTGCGAATCCACACAAAGAACATGAAATTAGCTGATGATGTTGAACTTGAACAGGTATGTACCGTAATATATTAAAAATTAATATAATTATGATTAGTCCAAAAGTTAATTTCTGCTTCAAAGACTATACTATGGGGCTGTCTATAATAATAATAATAATAACAATAATAATAATAATAATAATAATAATAATAATAATAATGATAATAATAATAATAATAATAATAATGATAAACCTTTTTTTTTTACTTCATTATATGAATGAACTACACTGTCGTTTCTCTTTATTCCCTGGAGGTCTTGTAATTTATTGTGCTGTACTTGGTGATTTGCACTTATAACTCATGAGTAAAGATGTGATGGTGACTTTAAAGTATTTATTACATCCACTTTGAAATCACTGGCTAACCGTGCAATCTGATTGGCTCTCAGCAGTGTGATTTATTCCTAAATCGCACCATTTTTTGCTCTAAATCGCATCTATTCCAAATCGCGTCATTCATGTTCTAAATCGCATCATTTCTGTTTTAAATCGCACCATTTTTGTTCTATATCGCATCATTTCTGTTTCGAATACAAAATGAGATGTAAAAGCCTTTTTGTTTCGGCTTTTTAACAAACCGGCTACTCGATCAATAAAATATTAATACTGACTAAATTCTGCGATTTCAAAGTGGATGTAATAAAGTGTTAATTGAACTTCGTGTCGTGCAATTTTGGTCTGAAATCATACTTGTGATTTCAAATCGAACTCGCGCTGCGCGCTCGTTCGATTTTGAAATCATGCGTATGATTTCAGACCAAATTGCACTCCACTCAGTTCAATTACCATTATAAATTGTTCATTGTTTGGTGATTTCATGGAGGTGTAACACAGACCTGAAACACAGGAGTCAATTTGCCCCAGAGTTGGCAAAATTGATGATTCATGCTGTAAATGTAGGTAAACATGAAATAACATTACTTTGTTGTGGTGGTGCTCTGATGAATTTGCCTGTTGTAATTTTTTTTCATAGATTGCAGCTGAAACCCATGGTTATGTTGGTTCTGATGTTGCCTCCCTCTGTTCAGAAGCTGCTCTTCAACAGGTATAGTTTCTACCCCATTGAAATCTGTGGCTTTATTAACATTAAAATTACGTTACATTAGTTATGTTAAAAATAATAATTATTATATGGTGACTCATTGCTTAACATTGGAAACTACATGTACTAACGAGCCAGCCTTAATTTCATACATGTAGATTCAGTGCTTTTCAGCTCCTTACAATAAATTTTGATTTTACAGTAAAGTGTTGCAAGTTATTTTGAGTCAGCTGATTTTGATGGTGAAGCTTGTATACATGGAGCGGTTTAGATGGCCCTTTTTGGCTTCTCCATGACAAGCAGGCATACCCAAGTGTTTCGAATTGTTCAATCATGCTGCAGAAACTGAGTCAATTTTTGATTTGTCTGTGCATAGTATTTCATTTCTAATAGAAAATCTTTTTCTCCAGATTCGGGAAAAAATGGATTTAATTGACTTGGAAGATGAGCAAATTGATGCAGAGGTCTTGGACTCATTAGCAGTGTCTATGGATGACTTTAGGGTAAGTACATTTTAAAATTCTGTTACACATATGTAGCATTCGCAATGTCTTGCTTGTTTTTTAATTGCAAAATACCTTTCCCAAAGCACAGTCTCCTGCCAATTTTAAATTATGTTTGAGCAGGTTCACCGCTTTGGAAAACCAAATTGTAAATCTGTCCCAAAATGGAAACAACAGTGCATTGGTGTTGTTTCTTTCCATTGACTCTTAATTTGCAGACAAGGAATTAAGTAATTATTATTAAGAAACATAATCAGGTGCACCTCAACCCTTTAGCCCAAATATCTAGATTCAAATTCTCCAAACTGATTTCCATACAATTACTTAAAGATCATGGAGTTATTTATTTTATATTATTTGTCACACAATAATAGAATATGAATTACAAATAAGATAGGAAAAGTAGAAACAAGAAGTGACAAAAATACCTAACAGATATTATAGGAGCTTATGAGAGGTTAGGCCTCCTTGAACTAGGGGCTAGAGCTGTTTACATTAAGATTCGTGACAGTTTCCGCGTATACCGGCTGCTTAGTTCCTCTGGAAATTTTTATGGCCCAGAAATTCGGCATGGGATTTTTTAAGGGTTAAATTTTGGCCCAGGGATTTTTTTGGGTTTTGTTTGAAGCCCTCGGAATTGTTTTGGGTTTTCATTTTTGCCCCTATTCGATCATCCCTATCACTTGAAATCCAGAGTACCCCTACTGGGGACTTAAACTGTTTGAAAACAAGATTGACCAAGATTGATTGTTTAGCCAGGCACTAAACATCCTATACATTCTGTCCTGACAGTATGCCATGGGTGTGTCCAACCCGTCAGCTCTGCGTGAGACTGTGGTAGAGGTACCGACCACAACGTGGGACGACATTGGTGGCTTGGAAAATGTCAAGCGTGAACTGCAAGAACTGGTGCAGTACCCTGTAGAACATCCAGACAAGTTCCTCAAGTTTGGAATGATGCCATCCAAGGGTGTGCTGTTTTACGGACCTCCAGGCTGCGGTAAAACACTCTTGGCTAAAGCCATTGCAAATGAGTGTCAGGCCAACTTTATTTCTATTAAAGGACCTGAACTGCTGACTATGTGGTTTGGAGAGTCAGAGGCGAATGTTCGTGATGTGTTTGACAAGGTGAGGTTTTACTGTAATGTCTGCAGAGCAGGCTTTTTTTTTAATCCTCAGAGGTACATTGATTGTGGCTGCACCAAAACTTAGGGAGGAGGGGCAGGTTAGGGGTAGGGGCAGGAAGGAGATTATTTTTTCCTCCCCTCCCCCTCCTCCATTTTAAACCGGACAACCTCTCCCTTTGAATCAGTTTTTAACCCGCCTCAGCTCTCTGTGATGGCCAATGTTGAAGATGGAAGGAGAGTATTAGTCCCACGAAAAGTGGCTTTGTTCACGCTGCAAAATACATCTCCTTTACAGGCACTGTAAAGACCAGAGAGTTAATTTATTTATCCTTCAACTCCAAGAGTGCCCAAAATCAGGACAAGAAAAATCATCATTATTTCAGTGTTAATATCTTAGAATCTAAAGTTGTCTAGTACATTTCACTACCAGCATGCTTGTTATATATTACAATGAAACCACATTACTGCGCCCACCATTGGACCATAAAGTCCTGGTGGCATCAACGAGGTCTTCAAAATAATAAAATGACTCAGTGATTTTTACGCTCAGGCAGCGTCGAAGAAAGTCGTGTCCGATAGCCCGGGGCTAGTGGATTTTGCTTTCGGGCTAGTAAATTCTGTTTTTAACTTGCCCAACGGGCAAGTGAATTTTTTGGGGAAATTCAAGTTACAGAATGATTGTAATCAATCTTGCTAATCAGAAAGGGTTTTGGGGCTAGCTGAAATGTCTTGTGGGCTGGTACATGCTAGCTACAGCTTGCCCGAATGGCAGGCTGTAAAACTGACTTTGTTTGCACCCTGGTTCAGGTGAAAAGAATTTGATTGTAATGATAAGGTAGTCATATACACAGGGTGTCCTGAAGTGGGGTTCCACTATACAATGTAATAAACTTACTATCCCAAAGCACAATCCCCTGCCAGTTATAAATATGTTGAGTGCAGGTTCACAGCTTTGGAAAATCAAGTTGCAAGTCTGTTTTTTTTTGTGGAAAGATAAATATTGCTTTTACTTCCCAATGACCGATTTGCAAACATGATTGTAAATAATTTTTTATTATTCAGTGTGCAAAGAAAGTAATGTCCAATAGCCCGGGGCTAGTGGATTTTACTATCGGGCTAATGAATTCTGTTTTTAACTTGCCCGACGGGCAAGTGATGTTTTTTCAGCAATTCGAATAACAGAAGAACTGTGAAATCAATTCTGCTTGTCAAAAAGCTTTTGGGGCTAGTTGAAATGACGTCTGTGGTAGTAAATGCTGGCTTCAGCTTGCCCGAATGGCAAGCTGTAAAAATGATTTTCTTTGCACCCTGTTATTAGTTGTTTATGGCTCACTTTTCCTTTTAACACTCAATTAAAACACCAATATTATTGTCATTAATACTCGGAATATATCACAAGTTCATCGTAAATGTAATTTAGTAAATTCTCTGTGTTTGTAATTTTGTCAGGCTCGAAGTGCTGCCCCTTGTGTGTTGTTCTTTGATGAGTTAGACTCCATTGCCAAGGCCAGAGGAGGAAATGTGGGAGATGGAGGTTAGTTCTTTGTCACAATATGTTCCAAAATGCAAAAGTCAATTTTCTAAAATCTTCCAAATAAATAACATCATTAAATTTGTTTGGTATATTTAGGCGGAGCTGCCGATCGTGTTATCAACCAGGTGCTCACTGAAATGGACGGCATGAATGTCAAGAAAAATGTTTTTATCATTGGAGCTACAAATAGGTTTGTTCATCATTTCTTGCCTGCAGTGAAACCCTTATATAGCAAATCCTGTCTACTCAAGTGGTATGAGTCATTAACCCTTTAAGTCCCAATAGCGACCAACAGCAATTTTCTCCTAACGATGTCCATACATTGTCAAGAGATAAGGTTGTGAGAATATAAAAAATGATCACGAAAGAGAAAATGCCTTGGTGTTTTATTAAATTCTCTCAACCAATTCTTAAAGGAAATGTGTGAAGATCAGTTTGGAGAATTTGTATGTGGATATTGGGGCTTAAAGGGTTAAGTTGTGCGATTGACTCAAGTGGTGAATGTTATACATTTCAGTGAAACAAAGTGAAGGTACATTACTTGGCTGCATCTCATTAGACAAGTGTAGAGAGTGAGTGCTGTCAAGTGGTGCGACTTGTACGACCATTCTAAAAGCATCCTAAATGACAAACATTCTATGCATGAAACTACAAAATGGCTGAATCACAAAAAGTCTGGTTAGTGTGTGAGCAAGAACGCATACGCCATGAATATTTCTCGTTGACCTTGTTCTATAGGCATCGTACAGGTGGGATGTGACCTCACTAAATGCGTGAATTGTATGAGTCGTACCACTTGACAGGGCCCCACCACAACTTTGCTAACAAATTCTAAGTGTTGTTAATAACGTGTGATTTTACCAGGAGTTGTACTGATTGACAGGGCCCCCTCCCAAGAACTTTGCTCGCAAATTGTAAGTGTCGCTAATGAGATGCTATTTCATCAATTCCACGACTCGTACGAGTTGCACCACTTGACAGGGCCCCTTCTCCAGAACTTTCCTCCCATAATCTAATTGTCACTAATAAAACTCGATTTCACCACTTGCATGGATTGTACAAGTCATACCTCATAACAGGGCCCTCTCACAAATTCATAGTGTCTCTAATGAGATGCAAGTTCATCAATTGCACCTCTAAATGAGATGCAGCTTAATGTGATACCTCATATTACCTTACTGAAGTATCACCCATCCACCACTAGTACAAATCACATTAATTCAAAGGCTAATCTCACCTCTTCACCACTCGTACATGTTTAAACACATGCATCACGACTTTCATGACTTGAACAAGTGGTGAGTATTGTACAACCCTTATAGGGTGGGGAGATCACCATAGATGCTGGGGCGTAAATGGACACAAAAGGACTTCCCCTCCTCAAGCTTTGTTTTAGCATTTTACGGCAGAGATCATTACATGTGACTCTTTTTAACTGTATATGTTGTTTTGATGCAGGCCAGACATTATTGATCCAGCCATCATGCGACCTGGACGTTTGGATCAACTGATTTACATTCCTCTTCCTGATGAACCAGTGAGTCAATTATTGATGCATATTATAATAAACTGATTATGTCAGTTGTACACATGAATGATTGCACTTTTGAAAAGTAATGTCTATTCTATGTGCATGAGCCTGTTATAGACAAAATTAAACCCATATACTAGTGTAAGATTGTCAGTGACAAGGTTAGGGAAGATGTGTTGTGATTCTGTTTTATTGTTGGTACAGTTTTCTTGAAATATTTTGTATGTTTATGATAATATAAGTTAATGTATGATTAGAGTAACCACAACACATAACGTCATGCACATCTAGAGCACTGGAGAGGTTTGTGGATGATGTGTTTGTTTTTTTGGTTTTACGAGTGTAGTGTATACGATGCTAATGCAAGCGCGTAGAAGCGAGAGAATGAACGTGATGTGATACACACGGGAATTACGTAATTTGCATGTACTATAGATAGCGTGTGTTGTAATTTATTCGAGTCTGTTAGCGTTCTGAGTAGGGAGTGTAACGGTCGTGAATAAAGTGTGTTTTAACCTAACCGCGGTACTACATTGGCGACGAGGATATTTCGAGGATATTTCGAGGATTTCGCCGAGGGTTTCAAGAGTTTCGTTGAAAATCTCGCTGTGGATTTCGTCGAGGATTTCGTCAAGGATTTATTTCAGCGATGCCGGGAGGCGGTGGATCGGGCGAAACTAACGCGACAAGCGGTACTACAACGAGCACAGAAAAAGCTGCATGTAATTCAGTGGTGACCAAGTAATGAATCTCATTTCACTAATGACCTTTCTTCTCATCTATTCCAGTCACGTGTCTCCATTCTCAAGGCTTGCTTAAGGAAATCGCCAATTGCGAAGGTTGGTTCTACAAATACTTCTCTTTTTAATGTTTTCTGTTATTGTTCTACAAGGTGGGAGTTACTTCATCAGGAAGTGAAAACTAGCCAATACATAAACCCCACAATGTAGGGAGATCTTTTCTAGAGGTGGGGAATGGGGCTTCATATTGTTTGATCTTAGGGTTTTCCTTGTTTGGCTTGAATGGGTTTTGTATGTGTTAGCAATCTTGCATAGCTATCGTAGCTAGCACACACTTTGTGCATGCTGTTATTTTAGAAAAAAAAGCTTTAGTAAACTACATTTGGGGAATATAAGTCCTGGTTATAGTAATTTCGTGACAATTTTTTCTGCTGGGACTCTGTTGACTGGCCGCTCGTTTAAGTTGTGACTCTTATTACATTGTTAATGTTAAAACTGAAAATTATGTTTGCAAAGTTTAACACAAGTTTTATTCAACAGGATGTAGAATTGGGCTACATGGCCAAGGTTACTCAAGGCTTCAGTGGTGCTGATTTAACAGAAATCTGCCAACGGGTAATTTGTCAGTTTTTATTGTACAACTTTTGGGCTTTTCCTCTTAATCAATTACCTCCTTCTATGTATCACTGAACCCCTCTTCAATAGATTGTCTTTCATATTTAATATAAATGCTGTAATATTAATTTGCCTAAGTATGTTTTAGATAGTGTTGGTGAGTACTGTTAGGAGTGCCAATGATTCTTTTTTAGAGGTATTATTGTGCCCAGAGTGATCTGTGGGAGCAGTTAGGTCACAAATACATTAAGAATGACAGGGGCCTGCAGGGTTCTTGTAAAGTGCCATAAAACTGTTACTTCAAATTTTGAGCTGTGTACTTTTTGGGAAAAAGGCTAAGGTGAGAGAGTGAAAGCGTGAATTCATTGCCAAGCTACCTAAGTCTACATCCTAACTTTGTACTTTAAAACTTTATGAGAACCCTCGGCCTGGTGTGATGATTTATGGTCATATCTTAGCCACTTTTTCCATGAATATTTCCCCTTTTTTTCCAGAATACCTCTAACTTTGTATCGCAGTCTCAGAAACCTTTTATGTGATCTGACTTGTAGGCATGTAAACTGGCGATCAGAGAAGCAATTGAGACAGAAATTCGAAAAGAGAGAGAGAAAGAGGATAATCCAGATTTGGATATGGTAAGAGCTTTTACTAAACATTTATTTTTCCTGTCATCTGGAAAACACTGATGTTTACATAACATTGTCTTGACATTTTTATGACTAAATTTGCTTTGCATTGCATTTTTTTCCTGAAAATAATCATGTTGGGCTCAGATTTGAAAGTTCTTGGTTCATGAATCATGCATGCTTATGTCTATCAAAATGATACAGTTTGATATTTTAAAGTAGGGACTGTTGAATAGATCTTTCCCGCGTTACGCTTCAGTGAGCAAACGTAAAGAAATGAGGACAAGACTCAGGTGGACAATTTCATACAAATCACTGTATTTTGTCCACGAGCCTTGAGTTGGTGCCTTTGTTTACAGGAAAGCGGGAAAGGTCTATTTAATCACACAGAGTCATGTTAAGGTTAAAAGCAACACTTTTTTTAAGTCCTTCATTGTCAAGGTAATCCTAGAACCTTTCCTTCTCATCTCACACATCACTCTTCCCTTCACGCATCCCTTTCCTCGCCTTAGCTTGAATTGTTGTCAGGTCTAGGTGAAAACCTGTCATTTATTATTATTATTATTATTATTATTATTATTACCTGCGTTCGACATGTGTTCATTTATGTTGCTAACAAAAGGAACTGTAACAATATAGGAAGTGGAAGATGAAGATCCTGTTCCAGAGATTAGACGAGATCATTTTGAAGAAGCCATGAAATTTGCTCGCAGGTCTGTTAGTGATAATGACATCCGCAAATATGAGATGTTTGCACAGACCCTTCAGCAGAGCCGAGGATTTGGTGGAAACTTCAGGTAAGTTGATCTTTTAAGATCAGTACAATCAGAATCATTTTTCCTTTCATATTTAAATGTGGTAATCCCAGTGAGGTCCCTAATTTGCACAAGAAAGAAAAACCCTGAAGGATTCTAGTCATAGTATGCAACTGTATTAAAATGATGGTATTGTGCAGATGGCCTAATGGTATGAAAAATATGCATTTTATTAGGTTCCCAAGCCAGAGTGGAGGCAGTGGAACTGAAGGAGGACAAGGCGGATCCGGTGCTGATAATTCTAACTTATATGATGATGAGGATGATGACCTGTACAGTTAGAGCAAAATCTGCCTATTATTCAGTTTTATTTTCTGCTAATCATTAATTTTGAAGTTTGAAAGTGGCCTCTGTGCAAAACTCTGTGAACATGTTTACATGTTTGTTTTTCTTTTAAACATGCTACATCAGGGTTAAGTTGCTGAAAAAATCTGTATTAAAACAAGAAAACAAAATTAGTGTAGAGCTTAGCTTCCAAATGTCAAGAATGTTACATTTAGGCACAACTGATATTTAATAAAATACATTTAGAAGAAATAGGTTTTACTTGATTGCTCGAGGCGAAGGTTCAGCTTCTTTACTTTTGAACAGCATGCTAATTAAACTTAAGACAGTGCTGGTCAGCAGTCCCTATCTCCAATTATTATAATTATGTTGGGTAGTCTTAGGGTATTTGCAGAGCCTCAGTAACTTAACAGCTCTTTTAATGACGTCAATTTGTTCACAGTGCTTTTCAGGTGTAGTCATTTTAACCGCCCTGCTCCAAGCCCTCCTTCCCTCCCTCTCGATGCGTCTTGATAAGTAACTATGAAACTCTCCACTGAGGTCCTCAGTGTGATTGTGCCTGGTGGTTGCCGCCCAAAGGGTTGTTGTGGTTACCTCAGCGCCTGCTTGCAGCCCCCTCAGTTTTTCCATGCACATGCAGCACACGCAACTATTGTTGTCAACAGGTCGTGACCCATTTAATGCAATGCTTTTTCCGTATTGCTGAAGAATATAATAGTATTGTTGAAGACCATCAGCATCAACATGATATTGGTATTAGTATCTTTATTGGGCTTTCCATTGGCAATAGTCTGCCTCTGAATCATTTCTCAGTGAACAATTTATATAAATTGAACAAAAGAACCATCACTTACATGTACTTTGAAATAAACTGTGCCATCCATGCATTCAAAGAATGCAAATCAATTCTCCTTTAACCTCCTTCAGTTCTCTCACATTTTTTTGTGTTGTTTTGTTTTACTTTGTTTGATTTTTTGGGAAGCAAAGGTTTATAACCTTTGTAAACAAGCACATCAAAAGACTTGTATTAATAATTGTTGTTAAGACATGTTTTGAACACATCTGTGTTGTCTGTTATTTAAAACACAACTTTGTATGTTTATGATAATATAAGTTAATGTATGATTAGAGTAACCACAACACATAACGTCATGCACATCTAGAGCACTGGAGAGGTTTGTGGATGATGTGTTTGTTTTTTTGGTTTTACGAGTGTAGTGTATACGATGCTAATGCAAGCGCGTAGAAGCGAGAGAATGAACGTGATGTGATACACACGGGAATTACGTAATTTGCATGTACTATAGATAGCGTGTGTTGTAATTTATTCGAGTCTGTTAGCGTTCTGAGTAGGGAGTGTAACGGTCGTGAATAAAGTGTGTTTTAACCTAACCGCGGTACTACATTGGCGACGAGGATATTTCGAGGATATTTCGAGGATTTCAAGAGTTTCGTTGAAAATCTCGCTGTGGATTTCGTCGAGGATTTCGTCAAGGATTTATTTCAGCGATGCCGGGAGGCGGTGGATCGGGCGAAACTAACGCGACAAGCGGTACTACAACGAGCACAGAAAAAGTTGCATGTAATTCAGTGGTGACCAAGTAATGAATCTCATTTCACTAATGACCTTTCTTCTCATCTATTCCAGTCACGTGTCTCCATTCTCAAGGCTTGCTTAAGGAAATCGCCAATTGCGAAGGTTGGTTCTACAAATACTTCTCTTTTTAATGTTTTCTGTTATTGTTCTACAAGGTGGGAGTTACTTCATCAGGAAGTGAAAACTAGCCAATACATAAACCCCACAATGTAGGGAGATCTTTTCTAGAGGTGGGGAATGGGGCTTCATATTGTTTGATCTTAGGGTTGTCCTTGTTTGGCTTGAATGGGTTTTGTATGTGTTAGCAATCTTGCATTGCTATCGTAGCTAGCACACACTTTGTGCATGCTGTTATTTTAGAAAAAAAAGCTTTAGTAAACTACATTTGGGGAATATAAGTCCTGGTTATAGTAATTTCGTGACAATTTTTTCTGCTGGGACTCTGTTGACTGGCCGCTCGTTTAAGTTGTGACTCTTATTACATTGTTAATGTTAAAACTGAAAATTATGTTTGCAAAGTTTAACACAAGTTTTATTCAACAGGATGTAGAATTGGGCTACATGGCCAAGGTTACTCAAGGCTTCAGTGGTGCTGATTTAACTGAAATCTGCCAACGGGTAATTTGTCAGTTTTTATTGTACAACTTTTGGGCTTTTCCTCTTAATCAATTACCTGCTTCTATCTATCACTGAACCCCTCTTCAATAGATTGTGTTTCATATTTAATATAAATGCTGTAATATTAATTTGCCTAAGTATGTTTTAGATAGTATTGGTGAGTACTGTTAGGAGTGCCAATGATTCTTTTTTAGAGGTATTATTGTGCCTAGTGATCTGTGGGAGCAGTTAAGTCACAAATACATTAGGAATGACAGGGACCTGCAGGGTTCTCAAAAAGTGCCTTTAAAACTGCTACTTCAAATTTTGAGCTGTGTACTTTTTGGGAAAAGGCTAAGGTGAGAGACTGAAAGCCTGAATTCATTGCCAAGCTGCTTAAGTCTACATCCTAACTTTCTACTTTAAAACTTTATAAGAACCCTCAGCCTGGTGTGATGATTTATGGTCATATCTTAGCCCTTTTACCATGCATATTCCCCTTTTTCCAGTATGCCTCTAACTTTGTATCGCAGTCTCGGAAACCTTTTATGTGATCTGACTTGTAGGCATGTAAACTGGCTATCAGAGAAGCAATCGAGACAGAAATTCGAAAAGAGAGAGAGAAAGAGGATAATCCAGATTTGGATATGGTAAGAGCTTTTACTAAACATTTATTTTTCCTGTCATCTGGAAGACACACATATTTACATAACATGGTCTTGACATTTTTATGACTAAATTTGCTTTGCATTGCATTTTTTTCCTGAAAATAATCATGTTGGGCTCAGATTTGAAAGTTCTTGGTTCATGAATCATGCATGCTTATGGCTATCAAAATGATATAGTATGATATTGTAAAGTAGGGACTGTTGAATAGACCTTTCCTGCATTACGCTTCAGTGAGCAAACGTAAAGAAATGAGGACAAGACTCAGGTGTACAATTTCATACAAATCACTGTATTTTGTCCACTTGAGCTTCGAGTTGGTGCCTTTGTTTACAGGAATGCGGGAAATGTCTATTAAATCATACAGAGTCATGTTAAGGTTAAAAGCAACACTTTTTTTAAGTCCTTCATTGTCAAAGTAACCCTAGAACTTTGCCTTCTTCATCTCGCACATCACTCTTCCCTTCACGCTTCCCTTTCCTCGCCTTAGCTTCAAAACCTTCCATTTATTATTATTATTACCTGTGTTCGATGTGTGTTATTTATGTCACTAACAAAAGGAACTGTAACTATATAGGAAGTGGAAGATGAAGATCCTGTTCCAGAGATTAGACGAGATCATTTTGAAGAAGCCATGAAGTTTGCTCGCAGGTCTGTTAGTGATAATGACATCCGCAAATATGAGATGTTTGCACAGACCCTTCAGCAGAGCCGAGGATTTGGTGGAAACTTCAGGTAAGTTGATTCTTTTAAGATCAGTACAATCAGAATCATTTTTGCTTTCATATTTAAATGTGGTGATCCCAGTGAGGTCTAAAAAACAAAAGCCCTAATTTGCACAAGAAAGAAAAATGCTGAAGGACTCTGGTCATAGTATGCAACTGTAGTAAAATGATGGTATTGTGCAGATGGCCTAATGTTATGAAAAATATGCATTTTGTTAGGTTCCCAAGCCAGAGTGGAGGCAGTGGAACTGAAGGAGGACAGGGCGGCTCTGGTGCTGATAATTCTAACTTATATGATGATGAGGATGATGACCTGTACAGTTAGAGCAAAATCTGCGTATTATTCAGTTTTATTTTCTGCTAATCATTAATTTTGAAGTTTGAAAGTGGCCTCTGTGCAAAACTCTGTGAACATGTTTACATGTTTGTTTTTCTTTTAAACATGCCACATCAGGGTTAAGTTGCTGAAAAAATCTGTATTAAAACAAGGAAACAAAATTAGTGTAGAGCTTAGCATCCAAATGTCAAGAATGTTACATTTAGACACAACTGATATTTAATAAAATACATTTAGAAGAAATACGTTTTACTTGATTGCTCAAGGCAAAGGTTCAGCTTCTTGACTTTTGAACAGCATGCTAATTAAACATAAGACAGTGCTGGTCAGCAGTCCCTATCTCTAATTATTATAATTATGTTGGGCAGTCTTAAGGTATTTGCAGAGCCTCAGTAACTTAGCAGCTCTTTTAATGATGTCAATTTGTTCACAGTGCTTTTCAGATGCAGTCATTTTAACTGCTCTGCTCCCAGCCCTCCTTCCCTCCCTCTGGATGCCTCTTGATAAGTAACTACGAAACTCTCCACTGAGGTCCTTAGTGTGATTGTGCCTGGTGGTTGCCACCCAAATGGTTGTTGTGGTTACCTCAGTGCCTGCTTGCAGCCCCCTCAGTTTTTCCAGGCACATGCCCCACACCCAACTATTATTGGCAATGGGTCGTGACCCATTTAATGCAATGCCTTTTCCATATTGGTGAAGAATAATAATATTATTGTTGAAGACCATTCGCATCAACATGATATTGGTATTAGTATCTTTATTGGGCTTTCCATTGGCAATAGTCTGCCTATGAATCGTTTCTCAGTGAACAATTTATATAAATTGAACAAAAGAACCATCACATACTGGTACACGCACTTTAAAATAAGCTGTGTCATCCATGCATTCAAAGAATGCAAATCAATTCTCCTTTAACTTCCTTCAGTTCTCTCACCTTTTTTGTGTTGTTTTGTTTTTGTTTGATTTTTTGGGAAGCAAAGGTTTATAACCTTTGTAAACAAGCACATCAAAAGACTTGTATTAATAATTGTTGTTAAGACATGTTTTGAACACATCTGTGTTGTCTGTTATTTAAAACACAACTTTAGAATTTAGTCACACCACATTTCATCTTTCAGAGTACTATGAATGTTGCAAATAAAAGTCACTTCTGTCAACTGATACAATCTAAACGCTTGGAGTAGGCTATGACCACCGATCATGTAGTAGTGGGGTCATCATTCCCTAACGACAGTCCAATCAGTGTAACTTAAGAAACTGATGAGTAACTTCATAAATTCCAACTGCTTCTGCTGCTTTCTCGTCATAGTCAGACCAGTCCTAAGAGGAAAAGTAAAGAACGATAAATGTCTTTCTGTGTAGTCTTGACCCCGGTTGTTCAAAAGGTAGATAATGCTACTCCACTGACATAATTTTTACAAACAAATAATCCCAAAAAGCACAACTGGCAGGAGGCAATCAGTTGGCTATTTAAAAGTGTGGCCAAGGATTTGAATTTGGAATGAACAGGAAACAAATCCAGATACTGGTCAGAGCAGCACTCGAACCCGGGAACACCAGATTGTTAAACTGAAGCTCTGACCACTCGGCGATGAAAATTTCCATTATGCCTGCATTACACTTCATGCTCCAACTGAAGCATTATGTCCAAAATTATGCCAGCATATTATATCTAACCGTAGTCATAAATGAAACTTGTCAAAGCCAGTTAATTTGTTGTGTAAAAATAATTATTATTGGAATCCCTTGCCATGCCTACAAAAGGCAATTCTGGTACCTTTCTGAAATGTTTTTTTTTTCTATAATTTTTTTCTTTGATACTTTCCTTCTCTATAAGTTAAGTGTTCTTGTGAATCACAGTCCTCAGAGTTCATGTAAGCTTATGTTAAATCAAGAGTTAACTTGCCTGTCAGCTTTGGTTAAAATTATGTACCTTTTCTGTTAAATTGACATCTGTGAACTTAGTTCCAGTGTCAACACCTTCAGCCACAAATCCACCCTGAGGACAAACAACAGTAAGTGGACAACTGGTATAAGTAAAATTTCAGAAAAAATCTTAGACTTGCTAACCCCCAAAAGGCAAAAAATGTGAGATTCTGAACCCAGAGCTGGAAAAAGTAGTGAGAGGTGGGTAACACGAGGGAAATCGGTTGTCAACTTGTGAGAGTGTGAGATTTATTTATTTATTGTGAGACTCACGACAAAGTCGTGAGACTTGCCAAGTCTGTGCTTCATCACAAATGCCGTGGATAAATGACTCACCCGTGGTGAAAAGTCAACTGGTTCTACACCTCTACAATCAAATGCCACCATTGTCTTAAACCTGTTGCTATCTTCAGCCTGTAATGAACACCCCATGAGGTTAAAACAAATTGAAAGTGTCTACAAGACAGCCAGATCTTAAAACTATTGTATACTCCTTCATGCTATCTTTGATTATATCGGTTTATTAGAGAAACAAAAGAGAAAATTATAGCCAAGTCTTAAAATTACCGTATATTCCTTTATGCTGTCTTTGATAATATCTGTTGATTAAAAAAAAAACAAAAGAAAAAATAAATAGTTATATCATAGAATTAATTCCGTTATGGTTAGAACAAAAGCTGATTTTATGACCTCTTAAATGGCAGCAAAAAAACTTAACTTGGTATCACATCAAATTGAGTTTGCATTAAACTCATCACCAATAGATGAGCATGGGCGTTGGTGCCCACAAAGTTGGTGGAGCTGGGAAATGCTCTAGCATGAGGAGGAAGTATCCATGGCAACCCTGCGAGTGGCCCCCACCAGGCACCGTCACACCGAACAATTCAGTGGAATACTTACCAACCCAATACTTACCTAGCCCACACCAAGAGGGAGGGAGGGATGGGAAAAACCAAAGCACAAACTGGCACGCAAACAGTAAGCTATTGCAACAACACTTTGCGAAGAACTGCAAGAACTGCAAGCAAGCAACTGCATATATAAGTCACCAGGTGCCCCTGCTAGAGGCATCGGGCCACCCATACTATAGCTGGGGAAACAGCTAACCAGCATTGCTTCGAGGTTAACTTTGCCTAAATTACATTTAGCCACATTTAATCATACAACATATCCAATAAATTTGCAATCCATCCAATTTTGGGGCACCAATCAAACTTCGGAATAAATGTATTCTCTCTTTTATATTAATATTATATTAATCATTCATTAGCCACATTTTCTTACCCATGGTATTCTCTCTTCCACATAATTTACACTTTGAAACAAAATTTGCACTTCCTCTGCTTCCTTTTACTGCTTGAGCTTCCTATTAACAATACAGGTTATTCAGTATGTTTTATCACAAAAGGACTTGTTGGATTCCAGGTGTACAATAATAATTATTAAAGCCACAAAAACATGCAACGTAGTACTGACTTTAGTCTGTGAGTGAAATCCTGTGACACGACCATGCATTCAACTAAAAGCTACTGAGCAGTTCTTTCCTGTTGTACTGTATATTATGCTGTACAAGGTGGTTCTAACTTTTGAGTGTGTAGAAGAAATCCTGAAGTGTGACCGTTCAAATGAAAGCCACTGAGCAGTTCCTTCCTGTGATGCCATTTCTATACTGTATTAGGTGGCTCTAACTTTTGAGTCTGTGCATGAAACCCTAATTTGTGAATGACCATTAAAATAAAATCTACCGAGCAGTACATTCCTGTGCTAGTGTTTGTCAGGACGAATAAGGCAGTTCTAACTTTTGACTCTGTGGATTAAATACTATCAACGATGTTACAATTCAGCTGAAACCTCTTCAGCACTACTTTTACATTGTGTTAATTAACTTACTGCAAGACACATATAAACCCAATCCTTGGTATTTTCCCCACAATTTTGACATTGCAGCTAAGGAAAAAGTACAAGAATTAACTATAAGAATAGAAAAAAAAGGAAATATAAAAATGTGGTACACTAAATGACCTGTCATATAATGCTATTCTTAGCCTCTAGCGGACACAACTGGGGGGCAGGAGTTGTAATGATCTATACCATCCCTTGTATATTTTATAGCTGGGATCGTGAAAATTACATTTTCCCAAAAGTAACTAAGGTTTGGTCTATTCTTGGTCACAGAATAGACTACCAGTATAATAGCTACAGGTTTTGAGAGGCCAGCAGCACATACCCAGCAAAAACTAACCACCCCCCCTCCCCTCCCCCTCGCCAGGTTTAACTCCTCCAACAAGTTTGCCTCCTGCCAGTTAGATTTGTTTGTAATCACATTATGTTTAATGTCTATCATTATTTCAGTGAAGTACCTGTGGAAAGAACACTCTATTTTTATAGTGATCCCTCCACCCTCCCTCCCCTAAGGATGAGTGTCCACAGCGGATGAACGCATTTGAAAACTGTATAGTTGAATTTGCACAGTATAAATAAATATTATTATTTTGAACCATTAGGAATCCATTTTCAAAGAGAGGGGGTAAGAAAGGTTTTTCACACGGCTCTGACAAAAACGTGAGGTGGCAGGAATCTGCTCATCCGGGGATGGGGGGCAGGGGTGGGGGGGATAAAATTGACATTACCATTTGGGGCGCCATAAAGCCCTCCGAATGAGTTATTCTGTATATTGGGAAACGTAACAACAGATGAACGAACCATACAATATCCCTTGAGCAATAAAAAAACAGGTGTTTTTTCATCGAGAGGACACTGAAATAGAGATTTCTGGGAGCTTATTTGTGGCTCCAGAACCATTTACCACCGAGGTAAGAATTGGGGCCATGGGAACTTTCTAAAAAGTGTTCGCTCAACAAATTTATTAAAGAATATCGAAGAGGATCGACTGTTTTTACATGTGTATTACCTTACCTTTTAAGCTTTTGACAAGACTGATTTGTTAATTCGAAAACAAAACATGAGACTGTTTGTGAATCTTTTTAGGCAAATTACGATGCCCTACCTTTAAGTACCAACGGAAATCCTCCTCGTCTGGCCTTACATTGGTGAGGTTTTCAAGATTCGCCTTAAATTGTAAGGCTATACGCTGTAGATCAGTGATGACAAAATGTAAACAAAGAGCTGTGATTAGCTCTTTTCGACTAGACAACGATTATAATGCAGCTAAGATTAGCAGAAATGATCCTGAAGACAGACAAGTACGCTAATCATCCACTAAATAGTAAAACACTTTACAGGATAAATGACAAAAATCCTGACATATTTCTAACAAAATGAAAATTCGCTTACCACCATTTTGCCACGACAGTGCTGCGCCTGCATTGGACAGTGGCAAGCAAGACTGCAATGATGACATGCGTAGTCGCGTTGCGCGTTCGCTGAATCCAATATGGCGCACAACAGGTTTCTTGCTCGCACAGTTATGGTTGGAGAAGGCGGAGCAAGCCAGGCTCTTAGAGCGTTGCAGCGTGTCCTTACGGATGAAAAGGTCATAAAAGACATCCAACTGAAACGTTATTACGAAAAGCCCACTGTTAAGAGGCGGCGGTTGAAGTACGAAAGCTCACTGAAATTGTACAACTCTGAGATGAAAAGAAAAGTCGACTTTCTTATGGACAAGCAGAGAAAAGTTACGCCATGGACTTAAGCCTAAATTCTCTTGAATGAGCATCTTTAAAACTGCAATGACCAAGTGATGGAAGACTGACTGATTAATTAACAAAACCACCATGTACAGGGCTGTCAAAACCTCACATGTCTTCAAATATTGAGAATTGATAGGGAAGGAATCATAGATGACGTCATAACTCATGGAACATCGATAGTGCAGATAATACTTGTTGACCCCGATCGTTACGAATTTGCAATGACACAAAACGCGCAGAAAAGATGTTGTTGGCACTGTAACATTTGACGTGATTGGTTTACTTCCCATCAATCGCATTATTGTATTACAGTGGTATACTGGGGTTTATGAGGAAACGTTTGATGTTAAAATAAATGTAGCTCAAGCAACGCAAAGAAGTTGAAATTTCATTGTCAGAATGTCAAGTCTACTAAAGAAATGGCAAGCTTCGC